TCTATTCCCCCTCTTCATTCCCCTCCTCCTCCCCATCCCCACCATTCCCCCTCTTTAGTTTATGACCATGTGTCTCAAGTTCTTTAGATTCTATATTTCCCATACTATTCTTGCCCTCCCCCCTGTCTATTTTCTACCTACTGTCTATGCTACTTATTTTCTGTACCTTCTCCCCCCTTCTCCTTCTCCCACTCCCCTGTTGCTAACCCTCCATGAGATCTTCATTTCTATGGTTCTGCTCCTGATCTAGCTGTCCTTTTAGCTTGCTTTTGTTTTAGATGTGGCTGTTAATAACTGCGCGTTTGCTGTCCTTTCACTGTTCATATTTTTTATCTTCTTTTTCTTAGATAAGTCCCTTTAACATTTCATTTAATAAGGGGCTTGGTGATGATGAACTCCTTGAATTTGATCTGATCTGAGAAGCACTTTATCTGTCCTTCCATTCTAAATGAAAGTTTTGCTGGATAGAGCAATCTTGGTTGTAGGTCTTTGGTTTTCATGATTTGGAATACTTCTTTCCAGCCCCTTCTTGCCTGTAAGGTCTCTTTTGAGAAATCAGCTGACAGTCTGATGGGAACTCCTTTGTAGGTGACTGTCCCCTTAGCTCTTGCTGCTTCTGGGATTCTTTCATTTTAATCTTGGCTAAAGTAATGATGATGTGCCTTGGTGTGTTTGTTCTTGGGTCCAACTTCTTTGGGACTCTCTGAGCTTCCTGGATTTCCTGGAAGTCTATTGCCTCTGCCAGATTGGGGAAATTCTCCTTTATTATTTGTTCGAATAAGTTTTCCACTGGTGGCTGTTCCTTTCCCCCTTTTGGTACCCCTATAATTCGGATGTTGGAGTGTTTAAAGATGTCCTGGAGGTTCCTAAGTTTCTCCTCATTTATTTGAATTCTTGTTTCTTCATTCTTTTCTGGATGGTCATTTTTATCCTCTTTCTGGTCTACTCCTTTGAGTCCCAGTTTCCTTTCCATTACTATTGATTTCCTGTGCATTGCCATTCATTTCAATTAGCCTTCATATGTTCCTCTAATTTGTGACTAAAATCAACCAGTTCTGTGAGCATCCTGATCACCAGTGTTTTGAACTGTGCATCTGAAAGTTTTGCTATTTCTTCATCACTTAGATTTATGGGCTCTGGGGCTTTGAGATCTTCTTGAGCCATTTTTGGTCTGTTCGCGCCCATTAAGTATGAGGAGCGGAGCCTTAGGGGTGGGGCGGGGCCTCCAGGGTGGGGTCGCTGGGCTGTGATGCTGTATGTGGGGGCGGGGTCAGAGTGGGGAAATGGCGCTCTCTCTGCTGCCTCCCGTAGCTGGGACCCGCTTGGTCCTGTCTCACTGCTCACTCCCTCACCGGTCTATCTGCGCAGGAATGCACCAGCACAGTCAACCCGCCGCCCTTCACCCTCATCGGATCCACCGGTCGCTCACTGGGTTGGCCCTTTGCAACCCCACGCCTGGGATCCGTGCCTGAGTCCGTCTGACCGAGTTTTCCTGCGCAACCCCGCTCTGCCAGCTGCTGGTTTCGCCCCTCTTACCGGTCAGGCTGAAGAATTCACTGTTATCGGACTTCCGAAAAGTTCAATTTTCTGTGTTCTGGCTGTGTTTTCTGTTGCTAATATTTTGTTGTCTCTAAACTTGGTTGTGTGAGAAGGCACAGTGTCTCCACCTATGCCTCCATCTTGGCGGAAGTCCCTGTTTGTTTTTTTTTAATTGTTGTCCTTATTTTGGTTGTGCAAGAAGGCACAGTGTGTCTACCTATGCCTCCATCTTGGCTGGAAGTCCCCTTCTTTTTCTCTATAAAATAACATCCTCCTTTGTTCTGCAGACTTGCCTGTGGCTCACCGTGGTGTGTAAGCCCAAAATTGCACTTCCTCTGCTATTCCCAAATTAACTCTTTTTTTTTTTTTTTGCTGGTAAAATGGTTATTTTATTTTTAAAGCTGACAGTGGGAATTGGGCTGGGGGTGGGTGACATCTAGGCCTGAGTACCCTGAGTCGCGGCCAGCCCCATAGAGCTGTCTCTGGGAGACTGGTGGGGGCTCTGCCAATCAGGGCACCCCAAAATCCAGCCAAGCCTAGGAGCAGTTGAAGGAACGACACCCTTTGGGCTCCCTCCCACAGCTGGAGGCCATTACCCAAGGGGGCAGGAACGAGAGGATATGCGGGTGTTTGAGGGAGAGGGGCTGGGGAGGCTGGAGCTCGGCCGAGGGGCAGGGAGGGAGCTGACATGAGGAAGAGCAAGCGGACACAGGGAGATAGCAGCTGGTGGGAGGGGCTGTGTGACAGCAGCTGGTGGGAGGGGCTGGACGTGAGGGCTGTGGGCTGCTGGCCCAGCTGTGGTGGTTGGACAGAGAGAATCAGGAGTCAGAGAAACCACGTCACCTCTCTGGATGATATCGACAACAAAAACATGAGTTCCCAGAGGTGGCCTGACAAAGCCTGGGGGCGGGAGAGACAACTGGGGGGACAGAGCCCTAGGTCAAGTGGCAGAGCCGGGATCTCCTCTTCACCCCACCCTGAGGCCAAATGGCCATGAATGTTGGGGGCTTGTCTGCACACAGGACCTGGCCTGGGAACCAGCAGGACACAGGCTGCTCCAGACACTGTCCCCTACCTCCCAAGGGCAGAGCGCCTCATGCCCTTGCCAGTGCTGTGTCCCAGCCGCCACCAGTCCTGAAAGACAGGTGTCCCTGAGTAGCAGGAAACTGAGGTGCCCTGCTCCCAAGACGTGAGCCCTGGGGAGAAGAGCCAGCCTCACCTGGCTTAGAGTATCCTGTCTTCTTGGGCTGTCACTGTGCCCTCCCCAGAAAAGATGTGTCCTAAACCCTAGGCTGGGGAAGTCTGACACAGCACTGGTCTCTTTCTTTGCATTATTCCCAGTGCATAGAGCCGCGCCAGCACCTGGCAGGCACTCCGGAAAAGCATGGGAACTAAATGCATGCATCCAATTGGCCTCCATGGCATACACACCCCACAGCTCTCTCTGGCTCACACCTGGCACTCTGCTCCTCAGCCTTCGGGCACTGGGCAGCAGGGAGTGTGTCCACATGAGTGCACACACCCCAAAGTGCTCTGCAGGAGCCCCAAAGGTCAGCTTCCACAGCACTGGCCTGCGCGCTCACTTGTGCTGGTTCCCCTTGGCCACTTCCCCCAGGGCAGGCAAAGCCCTCAGCCCAAGACTTCCAGGGCTCCAGTGGCTCTGTTGGCCACACCCACTCCTGCCCTCTGTACACCTGAGGAGAGCACTGGTTGCAGGCGGTGTGTGAATGGGCAGCTCAGGCATGTCCTGGGGCAGGTGGGTGGATGCCAGTGTCTAGCCTACAGCCCACTCCACAGCAGCTGCCCATTTTTGTGGACAGGTGGTCTGTGGCAGTCTAGTCACTGCCGGATGTGGGCAGGGTCTCCTCCCATACAAGAGGCTGTGGGGAGCTGGCCACAGAATGAGGGCCGGGCCAAGGGTGAGGGTGCTGACCAGGCCTGGGCAGGAAGCCTTTTGCGGGGCCTACCCGAGACAGAGACCCGTCTGGGCCTCCCCACTTCCTCCTCCTCTGATCTTTGCTGAGACACTCCCTGACTGCGGGAGGGAGGCTGACCAGATGCTAGGTCTGCAGTCCGGGGGGAAGAGGTCCAGGCTGAAGACCAAAACGTAAAGGTCATCAGCACACTGACGATATTTAAAGCTATGAGCGTGGGGAGGTGAGGAGGAGCGGTAGGAAGCCTCAGGAGGGGAGGAGAGGCAGCAGTGGGAGGAAGCCTGCCGAGGCCTGCCTTCCAGGGTGGCTGTGCGCCCTCCCCCCATAATTCTCACCAGCCCCAGTGAGTCAAATGACCGGTGCACATGCTTCCAGACAGCCACTCTGCGGGAAGTGCAGTGTCCCCCACGTCTGGAGGAAGGGGTCCTGTGTGTGGGCCCTGCACAGCCTTGCCCCTCTCCCCGCCTCAGTTCCCGCCTGGAAGACAGCAGGCCCCTGGCTTCCACCTGCACCCACAGCCCCGCCCAGCAGGGAAGGCAGGTGAGGATGGGAAACGGTTTCCAGGGTTCAGCCCAGGCTTCTCGCCGGACTTGAGCTTCTCTTTCCCAGGAGCCACGTGGTTGGGGTGAGCGGAGTGATCTCATTTGGGGTTCAGAAGCCCTGTACCAGGGGGGCTCTCAGTCTCAGGGCTGCCGGCTTTGTCAAGAAACACTGACTTTCCACGTGACTGAAGCCAGGGGAAGGCGTGGGCAGCCGCAGTGGGGCCTGTGGAGGGAAAGGCTCCTTTGAGGCCCCGCTGTGTGTGCCTGCCTACCAGAAAGTTCCTGTCTTCCAGGCAGGAACTGAGGCTGGGAGAGGGGCGAGGCTGTGCAGAGCCCACACACTGGTGGAGCAACAAGCAGGACCCCAAAGGGGTTACACTGACCCCCCTGGGCTCTGCATCACATCAGGATGCTCAGCCCTTCGCAGGGACCCACAGACGGAGGGACCCATTCTTCCCCGAGGGCAAGATGGTGTCCGGATGACCGTGCTGGGCTCCCAGTGAACCGCAGAGGGGAGTCGCCACTCCACCAGATTGCGACCCCTTTCCCCCCAGGCTGGGAATGATATTGGCCTTCCTGTCCCCACACGAGACACAACCTGCCTCAGTCCGTCCTTGGCAGTTACAGCCGATTTTCCACTACCAGTGGGAAGCACCTGATGCTGGGGGCAGGGAGGACAGAGCTGAGGTTCGTGTGGATGGGGAGTCCCTGCACATGCCCCCACCCAGCAGCAGCCCCGATCCAGGGTATAGGCATGGGCCACTGTCCCAAGACACCACTGCCCTGAAACCTCAGGCTCCAGCAGCGTATAGCAGGCTGGGCTCAGGCACGGGACACTCGACCTACCCTGACCAATGACATGAATGTCCTTGTTGGTTACTGCCGCTCCCTAGAAGCAGATGGTACTGAGATGGCCTTTGGAGGTCGCATGCTCCCCGCCCACCCTCCTCCTGGCCCCTCCCCCAGAGACCCGCTCCCGGACTCCTCAGTCCAGCGCCACCTCGCAGGGGTAGAGGTGGTTGGCATGAGCAGCTGCGTAGGCACGGCTGAATTCCTAGATGTGGGAGCACGGCCAAGCCAGGCCTCCCCGAAATGGCTCCAGCCCATGAAGAGGGAAGTGCCAGGACCAGGGCGGACCCCACAGCGCAGTGGGGTGCACATGGAGGCCTGTACTTGGCCCCCAGGGCCCTCTACCTGGAACAGTGGCAGTGTCTGGTGGAGGACACGGGCAGCTGCCACGGTGATGACAGACTCCTGCAGCTCTGTGTCGTGGGCAACGCCAAGGACGGTCCCATGGATCACTGCAGGGAGACATTGGCCCATGTCTAACATGTGGGGGAGGAGAGGCCCAAGCCCCCCCCACACCTGGCATGGCGGGAGCTCTCACCGAGGTCACTAGTGCACGAGGCCAGCAGGAACTCCGCACTGCTGCGGGGCCTGCAGGCACCTGGCATGCAGGGCAGGTGGTGAGTGTAGTCCCTGCCCTCTCCTGGACCACCCAAGGCCTCCCCTCCACCAGCCAGAGGCAGAGGGCAAGTGACGGGACACACCCCCAGGGACATTAGGCCGTTGGAATCCTAGGGAGCACTTATGCACAACCCCTGAAGACTCCCTGCATTTGGGGTGATGCACGTGGGCTTGCGTGTGCACCCCACACATTTGCAGGAGACAGTGCCTGAGGGTTGTGCCCAGCACAGGAGGACTCACCCGCCTGAAGCTCAGTGTCCCTGTGCATGCTCTGGCACACTCGCACCGATGGGGTAACCCCTGTGGCCTCCCAGAGCGGCCTCCAGGACCAGCCTGGGGGGGGTGCAGCAGGAGGGTATAATGGGCTCTGGAGTCTCTGCCTTGGAGCCAGGAGGCAGAACAGAGAGACCCCTCACTTCCTATAGGGTCAGGTTTGTAAGCTCTAGGAAAGCAAAGAGTTGGGCCTGCTACCTTGCAGGGGAGGGGCGTCTCCATGGTGACAGGCTCACACTGGACTTTTGTTGTATTGGGCTGGGGAGGGGAGGCAGGTCGCTGCAGATGCGGGGCCAGGGAGTCCTGGACAGTGTTGGCCCCAGGTTTTGATCCCCCTCCGCATCCCTAGCCCCTTAAGGACCGGGGCCAGGGGTTGCCCAGTCTGGCCTCCCCTTCCTCCCATTCTGCCCCCTGCCGGCTCTTTCCCTAAAATGAGTCATGGGGGATTGCCTTCCCTCCCTCTAACCTGTCCTGGCACTGCTGCTACTACTCAGTGTGGCCTCTGAAAAGCGCCCATTTCTCTCCGTGTGGTGGGGACAGCAGGCATTTCCCACTCCACCCGGGTAGGGTGCGAGTTCAATGACTCCCACTCCTCCCCATGCAGACCGTCACTCACCATCCTCGCCCAGACCGTGGGCCCGCGGAGGCAGCTCCAGACGCGGGTCATCTCGCAGCTCGAAGCGGAAGGAGGCCACACGGCGGCTGATGTCTCGGTGCAGTGTGGCCTGCAGGAAGAGAGCCCGGCGCTCGCGGGGACCCTAGCGCACACATTGACCCCTGGCTGGGCCCTGGCCCTCAGCCAGCAGCAGCTGCAGGCCGCCGCCCGCCCTCTCAGCGAAGACCTGGACGCCAGCAAAGGGCCGCGCCGGCCGCAGGCAGGCGATGCGGAGCCGCGTGCCGAAGTCAGAGCTGCCCAGGGTCAAGCGCAGCGCACCAACAGGGTATAGCCACTCGATCCCGCCCTCCGCACAGGCCAGGGCCAGCTGGCTGGGCTCCTGGGTGAGGCCGCTGGGGACAGACGCGCGAGCTGAGGTGGGCATCCCGGGTCCCCTCCCGAAGCAGCCCCTCCCCTGCAGCCGCTCCCTGCGGCCACACAGCTGCGTCCATTCCGTGGCGAAGGAAACTCAGAGCTACTGTCCTCTGCACTCCAGCGGGAAGGCAGGGATTCACTACCAGGGCGGAGCGCTCTCCCACCCCTAACCCTAAGGGCAGGCTATACCATCCCGCAGGCTCCTCCTAGAGGTGAACGCAGCCCTAGTGGCTAATCGCGGGGTCTTACCTGCCCCTCCAGCTGCAGCGGTCCTCCGAGAAGCCTGCGCGGGTGGCCGCGGCCGAGAAGCAGCAACAGAGCGCACAGAGCAACGCAGGGGGAGGCGTGACGCTAAGACAAGGCGGTGGGAGCAGCCAGGGTCAGCTGCCCCAGGCGCACTCAGCCCGCTGCCCCCACTTGGTCGCGCAGCCCTACAGGGCGCACGAGATGCTTAAGGCCGGCCGACCAATCCCGGCGCGGCCCCGGAACTTTCTGCCAATGGTGGCGGCGCCCGTGGGGCCGAGAAGACAATCCCGTGACCTAGGAGACGCTAACGAGAGGGCTCCTAGCTCTGCGTGCTCTGAGTCGCCCCCTCGAGGTACCCTCGCCTCGGCCTTGTGCACGCCATCCTGGTTGGTCTGCTGTTCTCCGTGCCCTTGGTTAGGGTGGGAGTGAGTATGGTTCCCACGGGAACCTGGGGGCCAGGAGTCCGGTGGAGAAAAGGTTCCTCACAGGTAGCCCTTCCCAAGATTGGGGCCTGGGCTCATCCCGCCCCAACCTGCGCCCAACCATAGGAGGCTACAGATGGGGGCGGGGTGGGGAGCAGCCAGGTGCTGGGGCTGCCGGCACCTGTTGCAGGAGCTGAGAGGCAGTCCTAAGTCGCAGAATCAGGCCCCAGGAGGTCCTGACATGGGACCCTGAAATGGAGCCAACTCTTCAAAATGAGCCAAGAGAAGTGTGTGTGTGTGTGGGGGGGGGGAGGGGGGAGTTGCACAAAGAGAGTTCCCACCGCCATAATTCCCCCTGAGGGGAGGGACTGGGTAGTGGGTGGTCAGTGGGAACTGGAGAAATTCCAGGCCTGTGCAAAAGGCCCGAGGTGGGGCCAAGGGAACAGGGCCCTCAGCAGCCCAGGAAACTCCCGGGGTCAGCTCACAGAGGCCTTAGCTACAAAGCCAGAAGTCCAACCTCACGCCCAGTCACCCAGTCACTTGGGGTCATTGAGAGCCAGCATAGACTCTCTGCCATCTGTGGATATGAGCCCTCCACCCCACTGTCCCCAAACCCAAGCCCTCCTGCTACCCCTGGGCCTGAGTGCACGGCTGACAGATGAGAGCAAAGGGCCCAAGGGGAAGGGGGAGATTGGAGCAGCTGCCAGGCTGAACCCACCACTGCCCCCTCCCCTGGTCCCAGGGCCCTCCCAGGCCAAAGAAGGGCGAGACACCTACAAGGCCCAGCTGGTGGGGTGAGAACCACCAGCTGCCATTATCACTATAGCCAAAAGGTGGATGGAACCCAAGTGTCTGTCAGCGGATGAACAGATAAACAAAATGTGGTCTATTGATACAGTAGGATATACATAATTTAGACTTAAAAAGGAAGGAAAATTTGACACATGCTATAATACAGATGAACTTTGAGGACGTTATGCTCATGAAACAAGCCAGTCACGAGATAACAAATACTGTATGATTCCACTTCGGTGAGGGTCCTAATTCATAGAGACATGGAATTGTGGGTGCTGGGGCTGCAGAAGGGGCCTCCAGGAGCTAGTGCTTAATGGGGAAGAGCTTTAGTTTGAAAAGATGAAACGTTCCGGAGATGGAGGGTGGCAATGGCCGCGTTACAATGAATGCGCTGAAGCACTACTGAGCTGTACAACTAAAGATGGTGAGTATTGGGCAATAAATAAAGAGGGGTGGTCAGGACCTGGGGCTGGGCACTATAAAGCAAAAGAGGCTCTGTAGAAGGACGGATGGGGGCAATGGGTCAGCTGCTATGGCTGCCCTTGCCAAGGCAAGTGGGTCCGCTTATGGCTGGTCACTAAGGCCTTGGCAGCCCCTGCCCCCGGCCTCTGAGGGCAAAGAGTGGGCTCCATGCTCCCTCTAGTGGCAGCGTAAAAAAAACAGCCTCAGCCATGGCTGGTGTGGCTCAGTGGACTGAGTGCTGGCCTGTGAACCAAGAAGTCCCCAGTTTAACTCCCAGTCAGGGCGCATGCCTGGGTTGTGGGCCAGGTCCCCGGTAGGGGGTGCACAGGAGGCAACCCTACACTGCTCTCTCCCTTCCCCTTGAAAAAGAAAAAAGAAACAGCCTCAGACCCACCTCCAGCCAGCCTAGGGCCCCTGGCTCCCCACCACAAACCTACCTCCACCCCTATGGGTCAGTGTCTGTGGGTTCAAGGGACCTGGTTCAGAAGGGGCACACCCTGGCTCTGAGCTGTCTCCCCACCAGGCTTCCCGTTCCCGTGCCCCAGACTCCTCTTTGATGCAACCTACAGAAGACCCAACGGAACAGGAGCCACCTGTCCTCACACTTGCATATTGTTACAGGCTTGGGTATCGTTACAGGACAGGAAGCCCTGAAGGCCCTGTCTGGCTTCCATTGCACCTTGATTGCTGTGGGTGCAGAACCAGACACACTGCAGGTGCCCAGTAAATACCTGGAGAATGAGCGTATACACCAATGAGTGAATGAGTGAATGACATTCCAGACTGCAGGCAAATCCCCTGGTGTCTGTGTTCAGACTGGGGGCTCTTTCGCATATCCCTGCTCCAGACCCTCAGCGCCCTGGCCCTCCAGAAAGGACCTCCCTCCATTCCCACACAAAACCTAGGCCCTGGCCAGGGGCTGGAGCTGCTACTGGCACAAGCAGCACTGTCTGAGGTGAGCTCTGCCCTGAGCAGTGCCTGGGACAAGTGGCACTGACCTTCAGCCGGGGAGGCAACCCCACAGTTGAAGGGCACCTGCCAGGAAGCCTGTAGTGCTGGGGGCACAGGCAAGGAGCAAGGCAGGGTCTGGTCGGGTCAGGGGTCTAGGGGAGAAACACAAAAGCCAAGAGTGCCCCAAGTCCAGAGCACAGAGGGTGAGGGCCCCAAGGCCAGGACAGAACTCAGGGCAAACCAGGATCCAGAGAAGTAGCCAGTAGGAGGCAGGCTGGGCCAGCCCCATGTCTATTACCCAGGGAGAGTTGGGACTTGGCTTTGAGAGGTGAACAAACAGAGCCCCTGTGGAAACAGTGAGAGAGCCCAGAGAAATCAAGCCTGCCCCTTGCTTAAAACCTCCGCCTTAGGCACCCACCTCAGCAAAAACAGGGCAGAAGGAGAGATGTGGGCCAAACAGAGGCCAGCCCCACCCATGTCACCAGCTGAGCCTGTGGCCACCCAGACCCAGGCAACCAGGACCACCTGCACCCCTGGACGGGGCTGGGGGCTACAGACAACAGGTAAAGTTTCCACAGATGAGGGCCAGGGGGTGCCGGGAGCCTGCCAGAACCTGGGCTGCCCAGTGACCGGCATTGACGGCACTGTGAGCACGGGCCTGGGTCGCGGCACCCAGCCTGACCTCAGGAGCCCCGGGTGCTGAGGTGGTCAGCCCTCCTAGAGACCCTCATCGGGGAGCTGGTCATGTTCGCCAACTCCTCTGGGCAGCCTGTGCAACCTCTGGCTGGCTCCCCTTCACCTGCTCCTCACTCCCCCACAGCACTCCAGTCAGAATCTGGTCTCATAACCTATGAGCCTGCACCTGAGGACTGGGGGAAGTTCTGTAGCTGGGATATGTTCCTTCCTTTAACAAGAAATACACGCACACACATACACACACACACAGGCACACCTTGCATCTTCAGGAGCCAAAAATGCAGTTGCCATTGATTTGCAACTGAGCTAAAAATAACTGCCAGACTCCAGCCAGGACTGGGAAAATATCCCATTGCTAGGAGACATCTGTTACCAGGAGACTGCCATTGCTAGGCGACAGGGTTGCCTTAGTGACAGCTAGGCCCTGAGTCATCCTCAACCCTAGCTACTCCACCCCCTTCCCCTGGTAGGTGGGACCTGGGACCCAGGAGGAGGGGGAAAGAAGGTAGGGAACAGACGCTAGAAAGCAGCAGTGAGATCCACCACCTGCCCTTGTCCACCCAGGGCCTCCATGGCCACCCCAGACTGGGAGGTTCTCATTCTTGTGGGTGTCCATTCCGGCTGTGGAGTGTGAAGCACAGCGCTGAGGCGCATCTGAGGCCCGCCCAACCCACAGGGCCCTTCCCCAGGCGCACTAAGGGCCCCTGCCTCTGGGCAGGACCTGAGGCAGTGAGGGCACAGTGTCCATCTCTTGGCTGCGCAGTAGGAGGCTTCGAAGACATCCTAATTGTTATCAGGCATGAGGCTCTCACCACGTGTCCTGTGCTGGGATCCTCGGGGCACCCCTGAGACCCCGGAGCCATTTCTCAGAGGCAATACTTGCCTAAGGCCCAACTCAGGGAGAGAGAGACCTTTTGGGCCTAGGCATGTGGCTCCAGGGCACACGCACCACCCCAGAGCCCCCAAGGGAAGGCTTGATAGCCTTCTGTGAGGAGGCTTGGGGTGTTTCAGAACCACTGCCTCAGGCCTTGAGAGCCATGAGGTGTGACCCCATTCCCTGAAGTGACAATGCCTCCCTCTCCCTTAGTCCCAATGCCTAAAGGCAGGACGGGCCAAGAGCCTTTGGTCCTCATTTTCCACGATTCCAGAGCTGGAATCCCCCAGCAGCCTGTACTGGGGAGATTCCTTCATGCCCAGGCATTAAGACAAGGGAAGGGTGCTCCAGGTGAGCTCATGCTGTAGGTGAGGCACTTAGTACCCTCCTGCCCTGGAGGAAGGCCATGTGACAGAAGCTCCGAGAATAAGGGGCAAGGCTGTGGGCTGGCAGCTCTGGAGCCTCGGGGCCTGGCAGTCTACAGGACAGAGACTGGGCGGGGGGGGGGGGGGACCACATGTGCACCGTACAGCGATCCCTCCGCACCATGGGGAGAAGAGGTGGGGGACAACAGGGTTAGACTAATGAGGAGGAAGCTGCCATCGGCCATGGAAAAGAGGGACACTTGGCACAGGCAGCGGTGACAGAGGCAGAAGGCAAGCCACCCACAGGTGTTCGGGAGGAAGGCCTTCTGTGGCGTATTTCACATCCCTCTGAGTAGCTCCTCTTCACTCGGATTTTTCCAAGACAGGAGGACTTCTCGGGCCCCTTTGGAGGCACAGCTGGCTCTCTGACTGAGGCTCTGACACCTGCTGAGGGGCAAGAGCCACCCTTCCCCAAGCATTCACTGAAACCCCGCCAGCCGGGGGGGGGGCAACCTCCATGATGGGGGGGCATGCCAGCCTGTGCGCGGGCACGTGGGGGAGAGGCTGAGCTGGAAGGCCAGCTGCCAGACTCATGCACACACTGGCGGTGAGGAGATGGGTTGGACAACTCTCTTTTTTAGTCACCCCAAATGTCCTCATGCATCCCATCCATCCTGCCTGCCCACGCCACGCTTCCTTCTTCGATTCGTGTCAGCACAGGGACAAGACTGACTCCTCAGTCCCTGCCACACCACCCAGCTGCCTTCCCCAAAGCCAGCTCTCCGCACGCAGCAAAAGCAGCACCAGCCCCCAAACCAGCAAAGGTCCAGCCAGCCCGGCTACCCCCACGGCTGCCTCCCCCATCTTCATTGGGCCCTGCTTCCCGTTATAACCCTGCAGACACCAAACACCAGCTGGCTTCAGTCCTATAAAGAAACTCTCTCAGGGGGCCTCTTTCCCAGCCCTGAGGCTCTTTCCCTGATGCGAAGACCCTATTCTGCTCTCCTCTCATCTGGCCCCTTCCCTGTCTCTGCTCCCAAGAGACCTCAGGATCCGCACTATTAGCTTCCGTCCTCCTCCCCAAGTCTGCTGGGAGGCCTGGCAAGATGGCCCAGACAGCCCTCCACACCTACTTGCCACATCCCACCTCCTCTGCCTTCTCTCTCAGCCTGGTCCTTACAAAGCAGGCGCCGCCCCCGCCTCCAGTCTATTCCAGGGGGAGCTTGCCTGGCTCCTTAAGGGCTCTGCACTTTCATACCCATCCCGTACCAATTCATTATTTCACCCTTGGGGTCTCAGCTCAGGTGTCATGTTCTCAGGAGCCCTATCATCACGTGTGGTCCTCTTCAACTTTCGTTGCACTCAAATCACTCAGAAATGATCCGCTAGTCACTTGTTTCTCAGTTCTGCGAGTGTGTGTTCCCCACTAAGGGGTGTTCCTGGGCCTGACGCCCAGCAGGTGAGCACATGTGAGGGCCCTGAAAGGGGACTGACAGCCCACTCTGCAGGAGGTGCGGGAAAGGTAAGGGTCAGACCCTTCTTGTCCCTGCAGGTGGCAGCCAAGGGTTAGGATGCACAGGCCGGCCCTGAACACTGTAGGACCCACCGCGCAGCCCAGAGCCAACCGCCAGTGCCGAGTGTTCTTTGCACCCCAGGATTAGGGGTCCCCACCGCTCCGCGGAGGCAGGGCTAGCTCCAAGTCCGCTTTCCGGCCATGCGCCCTGCCCTCCCCTCGCCTCCCTTCCTCGCTTGCCCTCCTCTTGCCCTTCCCTCCTGTCCCTGCGCAGCCGCGCGCTCGGGTTTGTTATTGTGAGGGCGCCCGCGGGGAAGGTGGGGGCGGGGTGCGTGCCGGAACTGGCTCGTGCCAGTGGGCGCCGCGGCGGGAGCGCGCGGCGCGGCAGGGCGGGGCGGGGCCCGGCATCTTCGTTGCTCCTCCTGGGTTCCCCAACCCGGATTGGCTCCCGGCACCCGGGAGCGCGCGAGGGCGAGGCGTGTAGGGCCGGGCGGGGGGCGCGCGAGGCGCGGAGGAGCGTAGGGAGGAGGGTGGAGGAGGAGCGCGGGGAGGAGGGCGAGGGGAGGGAGAAAGCGCCCGCCAGGCTCCCTGCAAAGCGGCCTTATTTATCTGGGCACAGCCTCAGCCTCCCCGGTGGGAGGCTTGGGGCGGCTGATCCTCTCCCACGGGGGAGCTCCTCTCTGGGTGCGGCCGAGGTGGCCGGCCAGGCCGGGGCACCGGGCGCGGGGTGCGGCCGGGCCCTGCTGGCCAGGCCAGCACCTCTGCCGCCTTCCCGCTTCGCCAGCGCCCATGCCGGGCTCCCCATGACGGGAGGACGCCTGGCAAACAGCGTGGCATGAACCAGGAGCCCGGGCCGAGGTAAGGTGTGTGCTCCCGGACAGGCTGCGGGGTGGGGAGGGGCCAGGCTACGCCTCGAAGGTGACCACAATGGAAGGATGGGGAGGGGGCTTGAGACAGCGCCTCTGCCACCCCTGAGGGCTTACGTAACCGCAGCCCCTTCCCTGACCGTGGCCGCTGGGCGTCGGGCCCTGCCAGGCCTTCCCACAGCCCCCTTACCCCAGTGGAGGGCCTGGTCGAGGCCCACTCCCCCTAGCAACTGGACCTAGAGTATGGGTCAGTGCTATCTGACCATGTCCCGTGGCAGTGGAATTGCAGGCCCCCAGATGGCCTGGCTAGGTGAGGACCTGGACCACCGCTGAGCCTGTGCTCCCTGTCTCAGCACCATGAGCCCCTGGGCCTATGAGAGAGGTGTTACACTTCCGTTGGAACCTTAGCCTGAGAGCCTGTCTGTCCCCTGGACACCTGGCCCTGTAGGGAGCTGCCCCAGTAGGAGAAGGAGGGGACGGGAGGGGGCTGGGCTCTGACTGGTTCTGGAGGAAGGGTCAGGGCATGGCCAAAGCTAGAGGGCCTCCCAAGGGGAAATGGGTACTCTGAGACTTGTTGGGAAGGGGTCCTGTACTCCTGGAGTTTGAGTAGGTGAGGAGGATGGTACATCAATCATTCCAGAAGAAGTCCTCGCTATTGGAGCTTTAGGGAGCCCACAGCCCAGTGGCCACTCCTCCAGCCCCTCCCCGCCTCTGCATAGGAAGCCTTCTCTCCAGGGAGAGAGCAGATGGTGGATGCCACCTCACCTGCCCCCTCCATCAGGGCCCTCCCCACACCAGCCACCTCCTAGGGTCCAGTAACCAGACTCAGCTTAGGCCTCCCTGGTGCCAGGTGGGCACAGGGCCCCCCTTCTTTCACCAGAGTTTTCTTTTTTGAAGGCTGCTAGACAGCCACCTGCACTCAGAAGGCCGGGTCTGGTTTGGGGTCCCACAGGCCAGGGCAGAAGCCCAATGGAGACCTGCTGCTTCAACAGGTGACCACAGGGCTGGGCCAGAGCTGTCTGGAGAGGAGGAAAAGCCATGGTCCCATGGTGAACACGGGCAGTGCAGGGCAACCTGTTCAGGCCCCAGGGAACCCCAGGGCGCAGCTGCCCCGGTGCCTGCTCCCTCCGCCTCAACCACCCCTCACCTTGGGCCAAGCCTATGGGCACCTCTAACACTGGGGAGGTTCATGGGAGAGGTGCCACCCTCTGGCTCACACCCACTTCCAGGGCACTTGAGCGAGTCCTGTCTCCCACTGATGAGAAGAAAACAAGTGGACCTGAGGTTGGGGGACCTGGCGCCCTCGAAAGAGCTGGGCCCAGGCCCAGGAAGGCCTGCACTGCTGAAAGCCAGCGAGACATCTCACCCCGAGGTAGGGGAAGGAGCTTCTTGGCTGGCCTGCTCTGTTGCCCGCAGCCCCTGTTTTGTGACGTGGATCTCAGAGGCTGACATGGGGGAGGAGTGGAGGTGACAGTCAGTGAAGGAGGGTCTGTAGGGTCAGTGGGTGGCCCAGACATTCCCCACCAGTGGACTTCAGCTTCAATCAGACCAGGCCCAGAGGGTGGGCTTGGACCATATTTCCCCACTTGGCAGGGAAGAGGGGGAGGGATCAAGGCAGCTGCCCAAGCAGCATGCACTAGACACCCCAGGCCTGAGTCCTGGAGGGACCAGGTCCTTTGGAGTAGAGGGCCTGAGATGAGGCCTGGAACCCAACATCTACTCTCCAAGGCACCCAGTCTCACATGGCTGAGCTGCCCTGCGTTTGGCTGAGAGACTGTTGGAGCATGAACTCCAGTCTCTCTCGGGGCCATGCACTCCCTTCCCAGAGTCCCTGGTGCCGGGGTGGGGCAGCCTGCACCCCAGCAGCAGCTCCAAGCTGGGGGTGGGAGGAGAGCGCTGCTGGTAGGACATGTGTGGAGTGGCAGGGATGCGAATATGCCTGAGTCATGGGCTTGTCATGGAGTGTGTCAGTCTGTACCACGCCCCCAATCCCAGGCTGCCCTGGTCGTCACCCCAGTGCCTGGGGCTTCCACCACAGATTGATCTACATGAGCTTTCCTGGGTCCGTGGCCCTCAGCAGGCAGGGGAGGTTTTGCTGCGGCCAGGTCACAGATTGTCCAGGGCAGGCTGCATCACATGGGGGCATCAGGGATGGAGAAAGAGTCCTCTGTGGTGGGGGTCATGAGTGGTGAAACATTTCTTTGGAACGAACAGTCTAAAAGAAGAGTGTCCCAGTGGTGGATGTGCGGTTTGCAGCCCCTGGAAGGAGAGCAGGGGTGTGACAGGCACAATAGTGGGAGAGAACACCAGCCCCAGGACCCCAAACTGGGAAGGCGCAGGGATGGAAAGGCACAACGGGGCAGAGAAGGTGGCCACAGGGGGTGTACCTGCCGGCAACAGGCCAGCCAGGGGCCCTTGGTGGCCCTCTGGACCAGTGTGCCTGGCTTGCACTGTGGGAGTCAGACAGATGGAGATCTTGGGGTCAAATCCCAGCTTTGTGCAACTTCTAATAATTTACTCTCTGAGCCCTGATTTTCCCATGATGGTCAGGCAGTGCCTGAAGGGCTCAGCCCAGCAAGGAGGGTCGTGGCGCTGAGAAGAGAAGGATGACCAGCTTCCCTCCCTCCTGCTGGTGCCTGTCCCCTCTCCTTAGGTCTGGTCAGATTACAGGGGACAGGCAGCCAGCTTCCTTAACACTGCAGCTCCAAAGGGAGTCTCATCCAAAAAGGAGACTTGAGTTGTCCTTTTCCCAGGGGTCTGAATAACTGCAAGGCCCACCCCGGGCCTCAGGGGGCCTTCTCAAAGGCTCTGACACAAACCCAGTCCCGGCGGCCTCCTTCCCCTGTGGACATTGGCCTCTGTCAGAATGAGTATTAATGAACTGAGCTGTAGCTCCCCCGCTAACTGCCCACCTCTCGCTCTAACCTGTCTTCCATCAAGCTTCATGGGCCTCGGGAAGCCACCCCCCTTCTGTATGACCCTGCTGACTAGACTGCCATTTCTCATTCATTCATTCATTCATTCACTCATAAAGCACTGGAAGGTCCCTGAGCCACGGTGTCATCTGTCCTTAAGGACCCCCCTGCCAGGGGGAAAAGCCAACAGGTATACAGTGAAGGTAGCACAGCTGATGACTGAGACCCTGGAGATCTTTCTCAGTGCTGCGGGGGCCCCCCGGGGGGACGCAGGAGTGGTGCTTATACCAAAGAATGGAGGAGAAGGAGCTTGCGGGGTTAAGGGGCACAGAGGCCTACTGAACAAGCAGGAGGACCAGCATGTGCCCACGCAGAGATAGGGAGGGGAGGGGGAGTGCAGGACCAGAGGCAGGGCTCGGGAGGCGCAAGGTGAGGCTGTAAGGTAGACTTGCTGGGTCTGAGGGCCTAGTGAGTTCCTGTAAAACAGGCAGCTCCTTATGAGGCCCGAGGATGGCTCTCTGCAGACTGGCAGCCTGGAAGTTACAACATTCTGGAGTCCTCCCAAGAGCCCCCAGGACCCTACCATGCTCCCTGAGTCCACTAGCCTCGTGCTTCACTGTGTGTCTGCTGGGACAACACAGAGGCTCTCCCAAGAGGCACCCTGAGCCAGCTCTGGCTCAGGCTGATGGGGACAAGACAACTAAAGTAGTGGCCACATCCCCCTCCTAGCCCTGTGGTGAGCCCAGGAGCCCTAAGCCCCCAGGACCTCCCTGGAATTCTACTACACACTGAGAAAACAACCCACCGGGGCTGAAGCTAATAATAGTGCAAGTGTGGCCATCTTTTCGAGCCTCTTTTCACAGCATTCGCTCCTGGCATTTATCCCTAAACGGGAAGGCAGGCACCAGCAGACTGGCAGCTGCCCCTACCCCTTCCTAGCAGGAAACTCCAAGCAGGTCCTCCAAGCCCCACTAAGTGTAGTCACAGGTACCAGGAAGGTAGGTGCCTGCAACCCGTCTGGCTAGGTGGATGGGGCTTGGGCCAGGCAGAGGGACCCTTGTCCCAGCCCCCTAGGAGCCATTTGCTTAACTGGCAGGGAGACCCACCGCCTTTCTCCTAAAACTCTGACCCATGGGCCAACATGTGGCTGTTACTGATTTTGAGTTACACAGTGGGGGAGTCTCAGGCTGGGTCAATGAGGCTGGACTGTGAGGAGCAGTTGGAACCCATCAGGAAAGACCATGCACAAGGCTGAGGAGCAGCAGCAGAGCTGCCTTTGTAGGGAGGGCTGACTAGCAGGCCGGGCAGTACCTTCTGGCCAGGGATGGGGGTGTGGGATGAGGGGCAGACAGGCCTCAGACACTCCCCCCAGGCTGCTGAGGGTCATCTCGGCCTGGCCACTCCTTTCCGTGGGCTTTTACCCAGGGGCAAGTTTATTTTCACCAGCTCAGCCTTGAGCCCTGGAGGGTGGCGATGGGACTCTGGACGGGAGTGTACAATGTGAGCTGCAGTTGGGGACAGGAAGGCTGCCGCACTGTTGCCGGAACATCCACGTGCATCCCCCCACCCATCTCAGGAGCTCCACGTGAACACCCATGGCTAGGAGCATTTTCAGCCTAAATTTGCTCGAGTTATTTCTCCTCTGGTGCCGCCTCCGCCGCCTCCTTGGGACCTTAGATGAACGGGGCAGCTCTTTCCTTTCCCTCCCACCTCCCCCCCCCCCCCAACACACACACTTCCACCTCCAGGGCCCCACCTTGCTAAGCTAAGTTTTCCGGATCCATCCCCTACACCCCCACCACCAGCCGCTGTCCACGGTGGAGGCAGCTGGGCCTCACCTTAAAGCACGCCCACAGCGGCAGCAGGGGCGCTGTCCATGGTGCTGCGCGCTGAGGCCTGAGCTGGCCGCGCCTCATCTGTGAGAAGCAGCAGAGATGGGGTGGGCAGCGCGCCCTGAGCCGTGAAATCATGGAGCCGTGTTCCGTGGACACAGGAGGTGCCCAAGCTGGGGCTGCCTCTATGCACTCAGCGGCCCAAAAGGAGTTATTGCGACATCCTTTTCCCTGGACACAGGAGTGAGGGCCAGTTGTGGGCTCCATCCTGTTCCTCCTTGAAGCACAGCTGGCCACGACGGTCCCCTCCTCCTTTACTGGCATTAAGGACAGCCCTCATATTAGACCACCCCTGCCACTGTGTGCACACCGTAACTCCTTGGAGCCTCAGGCCACTAATCTGGCCCCCAGAGCTGCTGTGAAGCTGAAGTCCATGACTATCCCAGTGGGTGATCAGCAGTCCCTATGGATGTCATGTCGGCCTGTGTGGGTCATGAACTGTGTGAGAGGCCAGTCCACGTGTGGGAGCCTCTTCTGGGGGGGGAGGGCCCACGGTCGGGTTGGCAGGCATGACGGCCCCATGTCCCAGGTGTGCACCCTCTCTCCGGGTATGGAATGCTGGCAAAGGTTGTCCTGTCCAGGGCTTGGAAATAGTGGAGGGTGTGGTGCTGGAAAGAGCAGGCTGGGAGCGTCCACTTACCTCCCTTGTCCCTGGTGGCTCATGTCCCCCTCAAGTCTGGCTGGCCATGGGACTTGAAAGCAATGTCCGTGTCACTTTCCATGTGCTCATTGTAGGCCATGCCCTTTGCACATGCAATCCAATGACAGGATAATGTCAACTTCCAGGCACCTATATGAGGAAAGCGAGGCTTGGAAGGGAAGGCCATGCCCAGGCCACACAGCCAGGGTGTGTGGCCATGTGGATGAACACAGCAGACAGCCTCTTCACAGTTGTCTGGTGGAGATGGGCAGGATATCTGGAATGTAGAGCAGAGGGTGGCACTGTGACGGGCCCATTGCCCCTTCCCTCGAGAGCCATCTGTGGCCTGTGCCCTCTGCCAGCCATTCACAGCTTTGGAGCCAGGTGCTCTCAGCCCCACCACTGACTATGACCTTGGGCAAGGAATTCACACTGTCTCAGCTTTGGTTTCCTCATCTGGTTAATGGCTACAGTCACCACAGCATCATCCTCAATGAGCTAGGTAAGGGGTTAAGGAGAGAGGTGTCCAGGGTGCACCGCTGGCATCACAGTAAACTCTGGGAAGACACCTGCCTCAGCCTTTCTGTGGGTAGATTCTTAGCCACAGAACCTCCTGTAGCCACTGATATTCTTGGGGACTGGTATGTGAATCTCAGAGTACTGGAACTGCTCCAGAGAGCCATGCCGGCAGCCCACAGTGGAGGGGCCAGAGACTGCCCCAAATTCTCTCCCTCAGTTATGCAGTGGAGGCAGGCCTGGCTGGCACTAATGGTGGGCATCGGGGTAGCAAAGGGAGTCATCGCGGGTGAGTCTGGCTTCTCTCCACCTCTGTTCTCTCATCTGTAAGACGGGAACTGTTGTACCTAGGTGTCACAAGCTCTGTGAGCGGGAGCAGGGTGAGCTCAGTGTACACAGTAGGCACCAGGGACCAGGGCTGTCCCTCTGCTGCTCCTTGCACTGAGATCCTTTTTGTCGAGTGCTTCTGGGAGGGCCATGAGACAGGGCTCCCAGGGACAGGAAGGGGCCCAGCTTTGCCCTGCCCCCCCCCCCCACAGAGAGAGCACGGAACTCACTCCAGGCCCCTGTCTGCAGAGTGACGGAGGAAGATGTCCAGCCCCGGAGTCAACGGCGACCCCAAGCCCCCATGCTTGCCTCGAAATGGCCTGGTGAAGTTGCCAGGCCAGCCCAATGGCCTGGGTGCAGCTAGTATCACCAAGGGCACGCCGGCTGCCAGGAACCGCCCCTGCCAGCCGCTGCCCCCACCCACTCTCCCACCACCCAGCCTGGCTGCCCCACTGCCCCGGGCTGCCCTGGCTGGGGGCCTGTGCCCCACAGCAGGGATCCCCCTTGGTGGACCACCCTCCGCCCCGGCACCTGGGCCCCCAGTGGAGCGGCCGCCGCTGGCCACAGATGAAAAGATCCTCAATGGCCTCTTCTGGTACTTCTCGGCCTGTGAGAAGTGTGTGCTGGCCCAGGTATGCAAGGCCTGGAGACGCGTGCTCTACCAGCCGAAGTTCTGGGCAGGCCTCACGCCCGTGCTGCATGCCAAGGAGCTCTACAACGTGCTGCCTGGTGGTGAGAAGGAGTTCGTGAACCTGCAGGGCTTTGCTGCTCGTGGCTTTGAGGGCTTCTGCCTAGTTGGAGTGTCTGACCTGGATATCTGTGAGTTCATCGACAACTATGCCCTGTCCAAGAAGGGCGTCAAGGCCATGAGCCTCAAACGTTCCACCATCACAGATGCTGGCCTGGAGGTATGTCCTCCTGCTGGCTCACTGGCTCAGCAGGGACAGGGATGGGGGGCAGGACCAGGCAGCAGCAATGGAGCAGGGGCGAGGGGAAGGGGAGGTGGGGAAGACGCTCAGGCACACAGGAAGCAGTGTAACTGAGGGCTTAGCTGGTGCCCTGAGAGGGATCATGGCTCTGGGAAGTGGGGAGGCGGGACTAGTTACATAATTTGAGGAACCCAGCCCAAAATGAAAATGCAGGTCTCTTGTTGAAAGATGATTAAGAATTCTAATACAGCGACAGAAAAGAAGCTCATTAAGTGTGAGGCCCTTCTGAGCCCGGGCCCTGCATGCCGGTGGGGAACATACTGCAGGTAATGGGGGAGCAGGGGCGAAGGGCAGAGGTGCAGGCAGCCCCTTCCCCAGGACCTGGGCTGTGATCACCAAATCATTGACACCAACTGTTCTGGGCACCTGTTGTGGCCAGACCCTGGGTTCCCAGTTCCCCTGTGCCCTGCCTCCTCTTTCAGAGTGTGGCTGAGGTGTAACAGACACACTGTACAGTGAACTTGTCCGAGAGCACAACCCCATGTATGTTTACACACTGGGATCCTCCTACCCTACCTCCTCCCCTCCTCCCCACACCCTGGGATGGGGGGCACACCTGGCAACCTCAGTGGGTTTGAAGGTCAGGTTTCTGACTCTGAACCTGCCTGCCACAGGTGATGCTGGAGCAGATGCAAGGCGTCGTGCGCCTCGAGCTGTCCGGCTGCAATGACTTCACTGAGGCCGGGCTGTGGTCCAGCCTGAGTGCGCGCATCACCTCGCTGAGCGTGAGTGACTGCATCAACGTGGCCGATGACGCCATCGCGGCCATCTCACAGCTGCTTCCCAACCTGGCTGAGCTGAGCTTGCAGGCCTACCATGTGACGGACACGGCGCTGGCCTACTTCACTGCTCGCCAGGGCCACAGCACGCACACGCTGCGCCTGCTCTCCTGTTGGGAGATCACCAACCATGGTGTGGTCAACGTGGTGCACAGCCTGCCCAACCTCACGGCGCTCAGCCTCTCTGGCTGCTCTAAGGTCACAGATGATGGTGTGGAGCTTGTGGCCGAGAACCTGCGCAAGCTACGCAGCCTTGACCTCTCATGGTGCCCCCGCATCACTGACATGGCTCTGGAGTACGTGGCGTGCGACCTGCACCGCCTGGAGGAGCTGGTGCTGGACAGGTGTGTGCACCCCCACCCCTAGGCCACGGCGGGAGGGGTTGGAGGCGGCCAGGGGAGCTGGTTAAGCAGGCAGCCTACGTTAGTGAATAGGTCTGTAAGTACAGTGGGGCTGCAGTGAGGGTAGGGAGTGGGTTGAAGGGTGGGCCTTCAAAACTCTGGTGAAGTGTGTGAAGCAGAGCTGTGGAAAGGAAGGAGCTGTTGTGAGTAGGGCAGGGGGTCCGAGGGCACTCCAGGGAAAGGAGTAAGGAGTTGGGGCTGAGGGGCGAGGAGAAGTGTTTTGAAGGTGGGCAGTTCCTGCTCTGTTGCAACCACAGGTGTGTACGCATCACGGACACTGGCCTCAGCTATTTATCCACCATGTCGTCCCTCCGCAGCCTCTACCTGCGATGGTGCTGCCAGGTACTGGCCCTTCACACCTCAGGAGATTGGGGAGTAGGTAGGGGAGGTCAGGGGTGCAGGGAATGACCGCGCCCGGACAGCCCCCTGGTGTGCTCCCAGCCTACTCAGACCCTGTAAGGAAGTCTGGGATTCCTGCACACCCAGCAGCTGACATAAGAGGAGCATGCGGAGTCTCCAGGGCCCTCAACCACACTCCCCAGCTGCCTCCTGGCTCCCTGGGGAGCTGAGGAACCCCCGTTTTGAACCCGGCTTCCTGCCCCTTCAGCAGCTCCAGGCCAGCAAGGGGCCTGACCCAAGGAGTGGGGCTCCTACAGGGCACAGCAGAAATAGTTAACTCGTTCCGCCCTTCCGCCCAGGTGCAGGACTTCGGGCTGAAGCACCTCCTGGCCATGAGGAGTTTGCGTCTCCTGTCTCTGGCAGGTGAGACTCCCCGCTGGCCGCCCTGCCGGACAGTAACAAACCGCCCCTGACACACACACTCAGTCCAACTCCGCCAAACTTGTGAGGTCCCTTGTGCGGCTTCATACCTGGGGCTGACTCGCTGTCTCAGGTCCACGTCAGAAAAGATGTCCGGGTCCACATCAGGCTGGGCCCGCCCCTGCCCCCACCCTTCCGAGGTCCCCGTCCACTCAGCCGCCTCCCAACCCCCGTGTCTCCCAGGATGCCCACTGCTGACCACAACCGGGCTGTCGGGCCTGGTGCAGCTGCAGGAGCTGGAGGAACTGGAGCTGACTAACTGCCCCGGGGCCACCCCCGAACTCTTCAAGTACTTCTCACAGCACCTGCCCCGCTGCCTCGTCATCGAGTAGCGCGGGATCTCCTCGCCCCCGTCGCAGGAACCTGCCAGGCTCTGGGCGGGGACCCGAGGGCGCCACTGAGCCCCCTCTCTCCGCACCCTCTAGTCTAGCGCGGGAGGGCGGAGCGAACCGCGGGAAAGCCCAGCCCTGCGCCCGCTCCTCTCCTGGCCGCGCCCAGGCAGGGAGGGGCGACGGGCGGTGCCCGCCCCACGCACGCACGCACACTCGGGGATTTGTGCATGCCCCTCGTGCCCGCCCTGCACGCCCGCCCGCCCCGCCGCAGCCACCTCCCATGATTCGCCTGCCTGCTGGGAGGGTGGGGGGCCGGGTCTGATCTTGGAGGGCGCTTTAAGCTCGTCAGACAGCCGTCCCTACCGCCTTCCCTGCCACACCCCGCTGTCTCCCTGTTGTTCCCCCCCGTCTCGGGCAGGGCCCAGGGGGATGGAGGGGGGCTGGGTCCCCCAGGACACAGGGGCCTGGGAGAACCCCATAGGCTGCCTTCATCTTCCACCGCGCGGCGCCTGGAGCCCTCCAGAGGGTACAAGGGGAAACAGGCCTCCGCCAAAGCCATGGCCCACCGAGGAGCCCAAGTTCCACCCGCCCTTCCACCTCATGCCAGCCTGACCCAAACGATCTCCCCTCTTCCTTGCCACTGTGTGAGACAGACCCCTGCTCGCCCCACCCCCACCCGCAGGCCTGCAAGTCCTTGGGCCCTGGCTAGACTGGGGCTGAATTTGGTTGGGAGAGAGGCAGAGTGGGTAACAATAACCTTGGCATAATCAACGTATCCAGTCCATCTCAGTGCAGAGGTGGTATACCTACCTTGAAAGACCCCAAGCTGGAGTGACACTTAGGGCCCACTTAAGGCCTTGGGAGAAATCCTGGGTGACCCTACACTGCAGCCCCTGTAGCCGTCTGGGCCCAGGCCCCTCAGCACCATATTTTACCCTGGGCAGTTCTGTCAAGGTAGAAGCTAGTAAAGTGGGCCCTGGCCAAGGCTCAGGGTCAACAGCAGCCAGTGACTTAATCTTCCAGTGGCCAGCACATCCTTAGCGCTCAGAACAGGGAGGGCTCCTTTCTAGCCACCCCCACCCCCACCCCCTCTCCAGCTTCCTAAACCTGCTTGCCCAAATGGGCTCTGACCATGTTCTGCCCTATCCCAAGACTTGGAAGTCCTAGGGGATGCTGGCACATCTTGGCAATTGCTGAGGAGGGGGCTGGGACCCCTTTCCACCCAACCTTGAGCCCCAGGAGATACAGTGCCCACATCTAATCTTGGGACACCCCCACCCCCATCTGGTTGGAAGAAAGTAACCAGTTTCCAGAGAGAGAGAGAGAGAGAGAGTGAGAGAGAGATGCCATTGAAGCAGAGAAACAGTTCAACAGCCCAAAGATCTCTCTGCCCCTGGAGTGCCCACAGGAGACTCCTGGGCTGAAGTGGTCAGGAGCCAGTTTCTTCAGCCCTCCCCACAGCTCCTTAGTGAGGAGGTGGCAGCTGTCCATTTGTCCAAAGTATTAATGCAACTGAAGCTGTGATATTTCCAACGACTGTAGGAGGAAAAAATTAAGGGGAAAGAGGAAAACAAAACCAACCAACCCCTAAAATCATTTTCTTATTGTACATAACGACCTCATTCTCCTGTATATGCGGAAGATATAACCTTATATTTGGTAAGTGTTTCTTGTGCTATTTTATCATGTGACCTGTTTATAAAAATATATATTAAAAAAGTTATAAAAACGTGTCTGAGTTGTTTTCAGGTCATCAGGACATGGTAGGGAAGGTATATCTGCCCTAAGTCTCTGGATTCTAATGCACCTCAACAAATCAAACTTGTTAGTTCTCTTAACAAACAAGTAGGGGCTGGAAGCCACAGTGCCAGACTGGAAACCCAGCAGTGACCAACGGAGGTCTCCAAGCTCCCTGCTTAAGGGGGAGCGACAGATACTAAAGTCATTACACCTACTATTCCCTTAAAAATACCTAGAATGTAGCCCATCCCTTCAGAAAGGGAAAAACGAGCCCTGTTTCATGCACACGGTAAATGAGGTTAAGAGAAGAGCAGGGATGTCCTAAAAGACCACATAGTGCATCAGGGACAAACCAAAACTCAACCAGGAGAGACAAGGGAGATTCACGGAGAAGGGTGGTCACTTGAACAGGGTTGTGTGAACAGGCAGTCAGGCACTGGAGTTTGTGGAGATCAAATACATGTGATCGCCGCCTGGTGGAGCTCATATTCTTATGCAATAGACAATGACTGGTGAATAAAGGAACGGGTTGTGATAAGTAGAGGTGGCAGTGATTGCAGAAGCCACGTTAGACGAGATGGCCAGAAAAGGTCTTTGAGAACCGAACACTTAAGCGGAACCCTCAAGGGTGAGATGTGTTCTGCTGAGGGGAGACCCTGCCAGGAGTGGTCTCAAAGCAAGAGAGAGCTTGGTTGGCTGCAAGAAGTAATGGAAAGTGCTGTGGCTGGGGGAATGCGGGGAGAGGAAGAAGCCAGGGGTTTGGGATTTATTCATGATGTCATGGGGAGTTATGAGGCGTCTTAGCCGAAGAGTAGTACCTGGCTGCTGTGCGGGGTTCAAATCACGGGGAACAGGGGCCCGGGAAAGCCTTTAGGAAAACCTGATTTTGAGTTTCAGGGTAGTTGAGGAAGGAGATAGAGACGATTGGAAGGATTCGGGACTCGTTTAGTGATGCATGGACTTGCTGAAAGGCCATGGGGGGAAAGATGAGCACTGGTAATAAAAACTGCGATTTAAAAAAAAAAAAAAAAGACCAACCACCGAGACAGAACTGGGTAAACCTCTCTACCTCAGCCCTGAACCAAACCTCCGCCTTCACTGGGCCTGGTCCCCGATCCGGAACTGTAACTGTGTGGGAGCCGGCTTCTGGCGAGGAGCTGACAAGAGAGGACCACTTCCGGTGACGGGCAGGAAAAGGACAGGCTATTTCCGGTGCGTGGGTTCCGGCTAGCCTGGGCAATTTTATTAAATGGTTTGGGTGTTTGCGGAGGAAGAGGGTCCTTCAGTTCCTCTGGCCGTGTTGCCGCTGCCGCCGCTCCCCGAGGCCATCGCAACTTCGAGCCACCAGCGTCTCCTGACTACCGTCCCGCCGGACCTCTCAGGCTCCTTAAACAGCTCGGTCTTGAAGTCCCTCCGGGTCCCCTGCGCCTCTGTCCTTCGTGCTTCCCCAGCTCTTCTGCTTCGTCCCCAAAGACCCCAGCCTACTGTGTGGATGGTGGTAACCACCTCACTTCTCTGTCGGGAGTGACTGACTGAAGGTCCACTGCCCGCCTAAATTTGACTGTGGGCGGGGTGGGGGGGAGGGGCGGAGGTATGGAAAAGTGGCCTGGGCTGGGACTGACCAGGTAGGGTCTTCCCCACAAGTCAGACATGGGATTTACCAGCTTCAGGGAGCTGTAGCACCTTCTGACCGCCTAGCCAGGGTAATGGGACTTGCCTGTCAGACTGACTGACTAGCCTAGGTCTAATCAGTTTTGGGGTATCCAGTCAGGGGGAAGGGTTTGAACTGACAGTCCCCCTGTCCTAATGGTGACCTGGCCGGCCAACTTCACTGACCTCCTGTCTCCACTACCTGTGCAGCCATGGAGAAGATGTCCCGAGTGACCACAGCCCTGGGTAGCAGTGCACTGACAGGCCATACTATGCACTGCCATCTGGATGCGCCAGCCAACGCCATCAGTGTGTGTCGTGATGCGGCTCAGGTGGTCGTGGCAGGCCGCAGCATCTTCAAGATCTATGCCATTGAGGAAGAACAGTTCGTGGAGAAGTTGAACCTGCGTGTGGGCCGCAAGCCTTCGCTCAATCTGAGCTGTGCTGATGTTGTCTGGCACCAGATGGACGAGAACCTGCTGGCCACAGCGGCCACCAATGGTGTGGTAGTCACGTGGAACCTGGGCCGGCCATCCCGCAACAAGCAGGACCAGCTGTTCACAGAACATAAGCGCACAGTAAACAAAGTCTGCTTCCACCCCTCTGAGGCTCATGTGCTGCTTAGCGGCTCCCAGGATGGCTTCATGAAATGCTTCGACCTCCGCAGGAAGGACTCTGTCAGCACCTTCTCAGGTGAGGGCCTCAGAGGCGGGTTGGGCAGGTGTGAGTCTTTGAAGGTGGCTGGACTGTGCAGGAGGTTAAGAAGTGCTGCAAGCATCAAAGGCACTCAGATGTGCTCCCAGGGGGCTACCTGGAGAAAGAACCAGCTGAGCTGAGACTGAAAGAGAGGGTCGAGGAGCAGCAAGGGAGGGATGGAGGCTGACATGGTTAAAGTGTGAACAGTAGCTGAAGTGTGGCTGCAGCTCTCATGCATCCAGCAGGGCCAGCAGGAGTTGAGGCTGGGAATGGGATGAGGAAGAGGGCAGAGCCTGAGCAAGCCCACAGCCAACGTGGGTGGTGGAGCAGATGGTGTTTTGCTGCCTCCTCTTCCCTTACCTCAGAGCTCCAGGCTGCCTCATTGCAGGAAATCCTCTGGGATTTCCAAGGTCCTCAGCCTTGGGATGCAGAGGAGGTGGGGTGCACTGCCTGATCCCTGCATAATTCTTTTCCCAGCATGCTCAGCTCCCAGTCAGCGGTGGTGAGCCAGTTCTCCTTTATCCACCTTGATGGAACCAAGCAAAGCACAGGGCAGAGGCCTTGGAGAATGGAGGATAGAGGTCTCTTAAGACAGACCCTGAGCTACCTATGCTGGGGTAAAGCGGGACACTGCTTTACCAAAGACTCTTGGTGTGGCAGTTTGTGGGGGTGAATATGGACCCTCAAAGCCTCCAGTCCTCTGGAGCTGACCTGAAGCTCCAGTTCAAGGTGGAAGGACTGGGCAGAAGCTGGGGTACCCTCATCTCTGCCTCCTTTGGGGTCCTCAGAACTTGTGGAGTGTGGACAGGCAGCCCAGTGAGGCTCTTGTTCACCCAGTGCTCTGATGCCCAGTCCTGAAGCTGGGCCCCAGGTTTGTGCAAGAACTGACATCAGAAGAAGAATCCAAAGAAAAGCAAGGTCCAGGAGTTTGTGTCAGAAACTACCAGATGTTTGGCACTGGCTGGCATGGGTTAGTTGGTTGAGCGAGGTCCTACAAGCTGAGAGGTCTCCAGTTCGATTCCTGGTCAGGGCACATGTCTGGGTTGCAGGCTCCATGCTCTGTTCCTTGGTTGGGGCGCTTGCAGAAGGCAGCCAGTCACACCAATATTCCTCAGCCTCTCTTTTTGCCTCCTTTCCCCTCTCTCTAAAATAAAGTAAAAAAAATTTTTTTTTTAAAGAAACCACTCAATGTCTGGTGTCCTGCTCCCCAGCCCAGGCTGTTGTGTCTGTGAGGCCTCTCCTCTTGGGTCCACAGCTGCTCCTTCTTGGCCACTCTCCCTCTTGGAGTGCCCAGTGGGCTGCCCCACTCATCTTCTCTCTCCATTGACATCCTGCCCACAGGCCAGTCTGAGAGCGTGCGGGATGTCCAGTTCAGCATTCGGGACTACTTCACCTTTGCCTCCACCTTTGAGAATGGCAATGTGCAGCTCTGGGATATTCGGCGTCCTGACCGTTGTGAGAGGATGTTCACAGCCCACAATGGGCCTGTCTTCTGCTGCGACTGGCACCCCGAGGACAGGTATGTGGTGGGCTAAGGGCAGGGGCAGCAGGGCGGGCTGGGTGGTGCTTGCAGAGGAGCTCTCTCACTGCCTCAAGTCCTGTGAGCCAGAGAGTGGGGGAACCATCTCATCCTAGGAGAGGAAACTGAGGGCTTCATGGGCCTTCCATAGGGGCTGGCTGGCCACAGGTGGGCGTGACAAGATGGTGAAGGTCTGGGACATGACCACGCAACGTGCCAAAGAGGTGCACTGTGTGCAAACCATTGCCTCAGTGGCCAGAGTCAAATGGCGACCTGAGTGCCGCCACCACCTGGCCACGTGCTCCATGATGGTAGACCACAACATCTACGTGTGGGATGTGCGCAGGCCCTTTGTGCCTGCAGCCATGTTTGAGGAGCACCGCGACGTCACAACAGGCATCGCCTGGCGCCATCCACATGACCCCTCCTTCCTGCTCTCTGGCTCCAAGGACAGCACACTATGCCAGCATCTGTTCCGTGATGCCAGCCAGCCTGTTGAGCGTGCCAACCCTGAGGGCCTCTGTTATGGCCTCTTTGGAGACCTGGCCTTTGCTGCCAAGGAGAGCCTAGTGGCCACTGAGTCTGGGCGCAAACCCTATGCTGGTGATCGGCGCCACCCCATCTTCTTCAAGCGCAAACTAGACCCCGCCGAACCCTTCGCAGGGCTCGCCTCCAGTGCCCTCAGCATCTTTGAGACAGAGCCTGGCAGTGGCAGCATGAGCTGGTTTGTGGACACTGCTGAGCGTTATGCCCTGGCCGGCCGGCCACTGGCTGAGCTCTGTGACCACAATTCTAAAGTGGCTCGGGAGCTGGGCCGAAACCAGGTAAGTGGGGCTGGGGTGAGGCGGGCCCGGGAGCCATGACCTTGGGGCAAGGTCAAGGGACTCTTCCGACTGCTGCAACTAGACCCTGTTCTGAGTTCAGTCCGCTGACCCTCACCCACCCCAATAACTGATAACTGAGGGTACTTAAGACCGCAGAGCCAGTCAGACACCAGTGCCACCCTGGGGATACAGGTGTGGGGCATCAGAGGGCTTAAGCCCCCTATTCTAGTTTTGGATTAACTCAGGTCCACTCTGGCTCTCATTATCTCCCTGGGACCCCAGGCTCATTTCCACATTGGCCAGCTCCCACATCTGCTTCCTTCTGTGCTCTGCAGGGTCGGAGCTGGGTTTTTGTCTTTCTCATAGACCTCGGTTTCCCTGCCTGGGGTGGGCCAGGACATTGGGTCATTGGGACAACTGAACACTGAGAGTTTTAGTTCCATCCAGGGTGGGGACCTGCATGGGGCACTAGAGACCGAGGAGCCTGCGAATGACTGGTGTCCACTCCTAGGTGGCGCAGACGTGGACCATGCTACGCATCATCTACTGTAGCCCTGGCCTGGTGTCTGCTACCAATCTCAACCACAGTGTGGGCAAGGGCAGCTCCTGTGGCCTGCCACTCATGAACAGGTAAATCCCTTGTGGCAGCTTTCTCAGAGGGTGGGACTGCTGGAGCCTACCCACCTACCAGCCTTCCCTGCCCCCAGTTTCAATCTAAAGGATATGGCCCAAGGACTGGGTAGTGAGACCCGGCTCGACCGCAGCAAGGGTGACACACGGAGCGACACGGTGCTGCTCGATTCCTCAGCCACACTCATCACCAATGAGGGTAGGCTGGAGGGTAGCACCGGACGTTGCTGGGAGTGGGGCCAGGGCATCCCAGAGCAAACCAGCAGTGGAAATCCCTCCCCTGGCAGATAATGAAGAGACAGAGGGCAGCGATGTGCCTGCTGACTACCTGCTAGGTGATGTAGAGGGCGAGGAAGACGAGTTGTATCTGCTGGATCCAGAACATGCACACGGTGAGTGGGGGCTGGGAGGGGTGGGACTGCAAGGCGGGACTGGAGGCTCATACCTTGCCTTCCTGACCCCTGCTTCGCAGCTGAGGAGCCTGAGTACGTGCTGCCCCAGGAAGCCTTCCCCCTGCGCCATGAGATTGTGGACACACCGCCAGGCCCTGAACACCTACAGGACAAGGCCGACTCACCCCATGTGAGCGGTAGTGAGGCAGATGTGGCCTCCTTGGTACCTATGGACTCCTCTTTCTCGCTTATCTCTGTCTCTCACGCACTGTATGACAGCCGCCTGCCACCTGACTTCTTCAGTGCCCTAGTGTGTGACATGCTACGCTTTTATGCTGAGCAAGGTGACGTGCAGATGGCCGTATCTGTGCTCATTGTGCTGGGTGAACGTGTCCGCAAAGACATCGATGAGCAGACCCAGGTTGGTGAGCGGCGGGGGAGGGTTTCCCTGCACATCTGTGTCTGCATCCAGCACGCTGAGGTGAAACCCCTCAGTGTGCCCACAACCCTGGCCTCCCGTCTCCCTCCTCCCCTTGCACCACCAGGAACACTGGTATACGTCCTACATCGACCTGCTGCAGCGCTTCTGCCTCTGGAACGTGTCCAACCAGGTGGTCAAGCTCAGTACCAGCCGCGCCATCAGCTGCCTCAACCAGGCCTCTACCACCCTGCATGTCAACTGTAGCCACTGCAAGCGGCCCATGAGCAGTCGTGGCTGGGTCTGTGACAGGTGCCACCGATGTGCCAGCATGTGTGCAGTCTGCCACCACGTGGTTAAGGGATTATTTGTGTGGTGCCAGGGCTGCAGTCATGGGGGGCACCTGCAGCACATCATGAAGTGGCTGGAGGGCAGCTCCCACTGCCCTGCTGGCTGTGGCCATTTGTGCGAGTATTCCTGATCCACCCGCCCCATGAGGGAGGGAGAAGGCTGGAGCTTGTGAACCAAATAAAGGAAATAGAGCCGCAGTATGAAGCTGCCTGTCACCCTGTCAGTAGCGGCGCAGGTTGCCCTGCTCTCACTATTGGATGACTGGTGGGCGGGAGTCAGTGTATCCACGAGAACTGACAGGAGTCACTAGCATCTGCGTCATTTCTGCTTTGCTTTCCGGAAGTCCCGCCTCCTAGTAGGCGGGCCAAATGAGGCAGCTTCCGAATCATACGAGTGCCCGCGCTGTTGCCATAACTACGGAGCTCCCGTCGTGCCTGGCGGCAACAGGCTCATGGCGCCGAAGGTGCGTCCTCCCTTGCTGCTTGTGCTCTGGATGCTGTCGAGTCCGGCCCAGCTCGGCCCCACAAATGAGAACGGCGGAGGGTGGTGAGCGGCACCGGGAAACCGGGGAGGGGGAAGCACTGCCAGGTGGCTTGGGTCATTGACTGGCTGTACTCACAGGCAACGGCGCGGATCCGGGACATCGGCAGCCGTGGCGGAAGAAGAGCATTGCACAATAGATCGCCTGGCCGACCTCAGCTACACCGAGTTCATTCAGCAGTACGTGAGTCTTCCCACACCTCCCATGCCCGAAAACCTGTTGAGGAGCTCCGTCGCCCTGAATCGATGCTGTTACACCCTTTGCCTGCTGCCTACCAGGCCTTCCCGAGGCCACCTCCCAACGACCTCCTCTTCGAGTGAATGCGTGGGGTTGGCAGTGGGTGAGACCCGACCATGATTCTGCTCTTTCTTCCAGCTACGCCTTCTCTAGACCTGTCATTCTGCTGGGGCTCACGGATAACTCAGTGAGTGCTTATTACTCTCTGGCCAAATTTGGCCCCCATGGGGCCAGACTCTTAAGTCCTCTTTCCCCTACTTCCCCGCAGAGGTTCCGGGCTCTGTGTTCCCGTGAAAGGCTATTGGCCTCATTTGGGAACAACGTCGTGCGCCTGAGCACTGCCAATACCTACTCCTACCAGAAAGGTGAGCTGCCCCACCTCCCTGCCCAGCCTGCTAGCCAGCATCCTGAAGGCAGCATTGATCAGTCCTGACCAGCCCTTTTCCCGCAGTGGACATACTCTTCCAGGATTATGTGGAGCAGCTGCTGCACCCCCAGGATCCCAACTCCCTGGGCAATGGTGAGCACTTGGGTTGGTGGCAGTAGGGTGGAAAGGGGGCACTTGGGAGTGCTCAGGTGCCAGGATCCCTACACCCTCCTGTGTTCTCTTCTGGCAGACACCCTCTACTTCTTTGGGGACAACAATTTCACTGAATGGGCATCACTCTTTCGGCACTACATTCCACCCCCATTCAGTCTCCTGGGTACCACTCCTGCATATAGCTTTGGCATCGCAGGTGGGTGCTTTTAGGATCAAGGGCCTTGGGGGATGGGGCTTGCACTTTAGGTTTTGTCACCGGCTGCTCATAAATGACTCTATAGGAACTGGCTCTGGGGTACCCTTCCACTGGCATGGACCTGGCTTCTCAGAAGTGATCTATGGACGCAAGGTCAGCCCAGGGTGGTAGCTGAGACTTGGGGCTCGCTAATCACAACCCAAAGAATAACCTTGCTGCTCCCGCCCCTAGCGCTGGTTCCTGTATCCCCCTGAGAAGACACCCGAGTTCCACCCCAACAAGACAACTCTGGCCTGGCTCCAGGATACCTACCCCACCCTGACACCGTCTACACGGCCCTTGGAGTGCACTGTCCAGGCTGGTGAGGTCAGTGGCTGGCAGGAGGGAGTCAGCCTGAGTTGGACTGAGGATCACCCACTAATCCCTGTGCCCCACTCCATCCAGGTTCTGTATTTTCCTGACCGATGGTGGCATGCCACATTCAACCTCGACACCAGTGTTTTCATCTCTACTTTCCTCAGCTAGCCAGAGCGGGCAGCTGGCGAGCGCAGTCGCACACCAGCACACACCCCTAAACTGCTCACAGATTTTATTACTGGGACAGTGGTGGCAGCAGCAGCCTCAGCCCAAACCACCCTAGCCTGCTATTTCCAGCCCAGAAAGAAGATGGAGGGAGAGGGGGATGGGAGCTCTCATAGCCTACCAGCAGAACTGATGGAAGACAGGATGGGAACACCAGAGCAGGGATCCAGGTACACAAACTGTGTACAGGGGCTGGGGGCTCCTGCCCCGAGGCTCCCCCCGACCAGGGTGCCGGGCAGTGTGGGATGATTGGCCCTCCCACTTGCCCTGCCTTAGTAGTCCTCCACCCAGCCATTCTCAGAGATGAACGCATCGATGACCTCTTTCATGGCCAGGTTGGGGATGAGCTGTTCCTGGGTCAGAGGGCTCCGGGTCACAGGGTCAAAGTGGCCCACACGCTGCAGTGACAACAGGGTCAGAAGGTACTTGGTGGGCCCGGGCCCTGCCCCCAGCGCCCATGGGCCCTCACCTGCAGGTGCTCCTCAATGTCCTTTCGGTCATAGGTGATGCCGCTAGGTGTGATACATGGCTCCCGCATCAACTCAAAGCTGATTTTGCCACACAGATAGTCAGGGATATCTCGCTTCTGCATCACATGGGGGGAGGACAAGGATCAAGAAGGGGACACCACTCCAGTTCCTACTGCTTGTAGGCCCCAGGCTCAGGGAACACACAACTCACCTTTCTCTTCTCATCTACCTGGGAGAAGAGCTCATCCATGTCTGCTAAGTACTTGTCCTGCAAAGAACCAAGCAGCCATGCATGGGCCAGACATCCCGTCTCCTTTCCCCAGTCACAGACCCAACAGAAGCCAGGGCCACCCCCATGTCTCATGCACACAAACACACAGACCCACACATGGGCTGGGGCACCCTCACGTGCTTGGCCTCGATGCAGGCCTGCTGGGCCCGGATGTGGCCATCATCTTCATCACCCTCGTGGTTCTGCTGACACTCTTCCAGTTCCCTGGAGGTTGACCAGGAGCTGTTCAGAGATGTCTGGCCAGGAAAGGTCAGACTCCACCCCAACCTCAAGCTTATTCAAGTTTTGTTCCCCTGCCTCTTGTTCACTGGGGTTGGCCTTCAATAAACACTTGTGTTCATGACTTATAAAGTGGTGACTTGGTGGGCATGGGGGGATGTCATTCCTAGAGTCTGTCACCACAACCCACCTCTCACGCTCAGCCACAATGAGTCGCGTGAGGTAGGAGTGCAGCTCGTTCTCCTGGTGGATGCGCCGCTCCTCGATGCTATTCCAGCGCTTCTTCTTGGCAATGCGCAAAGCACTGGGGATGTCGTCCCCGAAGTTGAGCCGCTGCTCCTTAGCTAGATTGTAGGCTGGAGGAACAGAGGCTTCAGGTCACCTGGCCAGTCTACCTGTCTGGTCCCAGGTACCCCAATAACCAGTCAGCTTGCAGGCCTACCTCGCTGCAGGTTGGCAATCGCCTCATCATAGCTCTCCATCTCCAACTGGCATTGCCCCAGGAAGAAGTGTGCCTTCACAGACTGCCCATCCAGCTCCAGGGCACGCCGGCAGTCAGCCAGGGCCTGCTCGTGCTGCTGCATCTTCAGGTAGCACAGTGCCCGGTTGGTGTAATATACTGCCACTAGGGGATTCCGGGTCTGGGCACCAAGGCAAGCCAGTCAGCATGAGGGAATGAACTCACCTGCCACCTCTGTCCCAGGCCCTGTTTTGGCTTGGGATCCACAGCTGGAGTCAAAGATATTAAGAGGTTTTACAGCTTCAAATGCCCTGAACCCTGAGGATGGGTAGAGGATGGTGTCCTGGCCCTGATGCCTGCCTGTGCCCACTCGACTCCAGTGAGTTTTGTAAAGGTAAGTTTCCCAAACTTGTGGAGATCAACTTTTGGACCTGGGCCTCCCTGGCCCCTCCCTGGCCCTTAAACTCCCACCGGTCGTAATTCTCCCGCAGCCCGCACTAGGTTCAAGAATCGCGGCCTTGGCATCCTTAAAACAAGACCATCACTGAGTCCTGAGAGCCCAGGTGCCCCTTCCTAGTTGGAGCCAAAACCCTCCGAAGGTTCGAGGAGCGTGGCTGGGCAGGCCCCACCCCCTCCCCTGGCCCGGACGCCGGTTCCCTACCGGGCACGGGTACACTCACGATGGCGCGGCCGTAGCAGGCCGCCGCCTCCGGATACTTGCGGCCCACGAAGAGCCGGTTGCCCTGCTCCTTGAGCTCCTGCGCACTGGGGCTCTTCTCTGGGCTTCCACCAGCGGCGCCCAGCCGCGCGCCGCCTTCCTTCTCCTCTTTGCCCTTCATGGCGCCGCGCGGTACAGCCTGGGCTCCGCTCCCAGACTCCTCTCCCGGCCCGTCCTGCGCCCGCAGCACAAGCTCGCAGCCCGAGCCCGCGATCCGCTCGGGCCCGGTCCAGCGACCCGCCACCGGAACTTCCGGCCGCGTGGGGCGGAGTAAGTGGGACAGATAGACACGAGCAGGTGGGCGAGGCTGCGCTTGCGCCCAACACTCTGCGGGGCGGGGCTGACGCACTTGTGGGCTGGGACCAAACTAACCTCGTTGTAAGTCTGGAGCACCTCCTGGGGCTACCCCGGAAGCTCCGCCCCTCTCATCAGGGAGGTGTCATTCCAGAAGTTAGCCCCGCCCATACCCTGCCGACTCCCACGCCCACCCAAGGCCCCGCCCGAGAAGGCCGGAGCTGTTGGGCAGCCAGTCTGGCGGGCCGCGGACAGGTGGCGTGGACTGGCACGGACCCCCAGTGGCAACTGGAAGCCCTGGGCAGACAGTAGGGCGGTGGGGGCATTGGTAGGGTGGGCAATCCCCATTGCTCAGCCTACCATCACCATCCTACCCCAGGTATCGAGAGGCTTTGCACGAAGCCATCGAGGGCTGAGCACAGAGAAGCATGTGACACCAGACGAGCTGAAACCGCTGCTGGCTTAGAAGCCGGCAGTGAGGGGCTCCCACATAGGGGGAGGAGCCTTGGCTGGCTGACCCGCCCCCTGGCATTGGGGGTGGCCCTTTGCACTATGGGGTAGGGTTTTCTCCAGGGGGTGGTTCCTCGCTTGTGGGGCAGGCCCCTCTGTCGAGGTCCACCACCAGTGACCACCCTACCTAACCCAAGTCTGCTGCAGAAGAGTCACAGTGAGGAGGGCTGACTACATGGGCACGGCAGACAGGACATGTTAGTGTCGTTGTGATATGAACCAATGACCATGTTGGTGACAGAGGTCAGTGGGAATGGCACCCTATACTGAAGTGGTTCTGATACTGGCGGGGTCTGAGTGCTGGTCCTTCACTGCTTCCAGAAGCCCTCATGTCTGCCAGGCCTGCCAGCCCTGCAGTATACTCTCAGGTACTACCTGTTGGTACCTGGGCCAGGTGCAGGGCATGCCACAGCCCAGAGCTGAGGTGAGAGGACTGTTGGTGGGCCAGGAGGGCATCCAGGACTCCAATCAGGGTGGAATGTGCAGATCTGTCCCACAGGGCAGGGTGGCCAGTGCCCCAAGCCCCAAACCCCCTGTGCCCTTCCCTAGGCAATGCGTTAGGGCTGTAGACACCTCGCCCAGTGGCAACAGCACAATGGACTTGGGCTGTGGGGCAGAAGCCGTGCCCCAACCTGCTCCCTGACCTCAGCCCTAGCCCAGCAACCCCTGAGAACACCAGGCTAGCCAAGAAGTACAGGACCCAGGCCAACTAAACTTGGCTGTGGCTTACTCACCTGTCATGTGACTTGTCAGAGCTCAATAAAAGCTTGCTAGACTCATTTGACTATGAGGTTCACAGCCCCTCCCCAAGGGCTCCCACCTCCCACACAGACACGCCTCATACAGGTGCAGAGGAGCAAGGAGGGATCCAGGCTGCCCACAGGAAGAGAAGAGCCCTCATAGTCTGCTCGGTGAGTTGGGGGGTAGGCCAGACCAGCCCCCAGAGCCCCGATACAGCCACTTGGTGCTGTGTAAAATATTTATTTATTCTCCAAAAAGGCTCAGACTGCAAGTCCTGGGGTTGGGGGGGGGGAGAGGCCATGATAGGATCACCTCTGAGGCCACCCTTGGGACCTCCACTGCCCAGCCTGGCCCAGCAGTCCTAACCCCCACCCAGGCCTGGCAGGGGGGCCAGAGCTGGTGTAAGGCTTGGCCTGGACTCTGCAGGCCACAGGGGCCATCTGCCCTCATGGAGAAGCAGTCTTGAGATGTACATTCACAGAAGGTGGACATGCAGGCCATGCCCTAGCCCATGAGGCCCCCAGGAACCCTTCAGGGTGGTGGGGGGACGTGGGCGCCCAGCAGGTCGTAGGCGAAGATGTTCCAGAAGATGGCGAAGAGCAGGAAGGTGCCATAGGCAAGCAGCACCACCCACCAGCCGCACTGGTCCCGGAGGCGCTCCTCATAGCTGCGCAGGATGGTCAGGCCCATGCTGACCCCCACCACTGCACCAGCCAGGTGCGCCATGAAGCTGGGCTGTGGGCCCGAGGCAGGCAGTGGTGGAGAGAAGCGCAGCCACACAGCCCGGCCCACCTCGGAGCTCACTGCAGAGGGAGTTGGCACATGGGAGGTGCCCTGGCCCTGGGCTCAACCCTCCCTCCATCCCCCTGCCCTAACATCCTTCGCCCCTACTTACTGCACACCAGGGCCAGCACCATTCTCAGCAGCTTGTAGGGGCACCTCATCCCAGCCCAGTTCTGATGAGGCATGAGACAGGCCATGAGGCTAGCCTCATGGGCCCCTCCCACACCCGCCCAAGCTGTCTTATTACCATGACGACATTGGCCAGGTGTGCAGAGCACAGGGCGTAGACTCCGCCAGAGCCCCCCACCACAGGGGCCCGCATGTCAGTGATGGAGACAGTCAGGGAACCTGTGAGAAGCAAGGGGACAGCTATGAGGGTGAGGCCTGTCAGTGAGGTAGCCAGGGGCTATGTGCCTGCCTCACCTGCCAGCACGCCAGCCAGGTAGAGTAGGCTGATGCGGAGCAGGCCGTGCACCATCTCCAGGGGCACCCCAATCATTAGCTGTAGGAGCGCGTTGAACCCCAGCTGTTCCAGCCTGGCCATGTGGGGGCAAATGGGTATGAGGGGTGGGAACAGCCATCAGGCCCCCAGCCACAGCCACTTCTAAGTCGGGGTGCCAGAAGTGGGCCCTCACTCACCCGACATGCATGAACATGTAGGTGAGGAAGCGCCAGGCCCGGGCTCGGTGGCCAGGGTGGTATACCAGGGGGCTCTTCATGTACTCAGGGTGGTAGGTCTGCAGCACCCACTTGTTGAGGCGGGCCCCATAGCACAGGAACACGATGATCTAGGAGAAAAGGACATTAGGACTGGGCCAGGTCAGAGACGTGGGTGGTGAACAGGCGGGCAGGCTCACCTGGGCCAGGGTGACCGAGGCCATAAACACAGGGGGTGGGCAGCTGCGGTGCCGGTAGAAGTACCAGTGGCGGTCCACCTCTCGGGGCAAGATCTCATAGGCCACGTAGCGCACAAACCGCTTATAGACACCCAGGCCTGGCTCATCTAGCATCCCATCCTGGGGCAGTGCCCGCTGTCCATTGGCGATGGCCCGTTTAAAACTGCTGGAACGCTTGCTGCTGATCTGGGGGGCGGGGGACATCGTACCACCCTTATGACCTCCATGCCTGCCTGCTCTGCCCAGCTCCTCGCAGGGTCTGAGGGAGGTCCCGCCCCGTGGGAAAGGGAGGGAACAGGAATCACCTGCCCACCCAACTCCAGCCCGTGCACCATGCAGGTCAAGTCCTGGGCCCCCACCCTGCTGCCTACCCACTGTAGCACTGACCAGGTCCACCAGCTCCTGGTAGCAGACCTGGCCCCGCTCGTTGCTCTGGGCCAGGGCCACCAGCATGTCCAGCTTGGCTGGATCCAGGGGCAGCTCATGGCTGTGCACCAAGCCAGTGAAGGTGTCCGCACCGATGAAGCCTGTGTTCTCAGGGTCCAGCTGCTGGGGTGGGGGTGGGGGGTGGGAGGTGGTGCTGGCCAAGGCCTGAGGGTGGACGAGCCCACAGACCTAAGGGCTGCAGCAAGCCAGCTGGAAACAGTCTCCCAACACCCTTGGGCTAGATCCCTGTGCCCACATGGTTCTAGGAGCTGTCAGGGAACCTTCGCCTGGGTCCCAAGCCTCCAGTGGGCTCCCTACCTCATTTTGGCTCTGCCCATCCTGAAAGGGTAGGGCTATGGTCTGAGGACAGTCACCCTCCTTCCTGCTCCTCCCCAGGCGCCCTGGCCTGGCTCACCCTCTCCGGTGGGGTCTCAGGCTACGGGCCAAGGTCATGCAGGAAGAGGTTTGAGGAGTGGACATGAGCGGGGCAGGGAGGCGGGGGCTGGGCTGGGGCTCTGGGAGATCCGTTTGCTCAGTCGAACCCAACCGTGGAGGGGCGCGGCAGGGGCGGTGCCTGCACCCCTCTTCCCCCAACGCACCTGCTCCTGAATAAGCTGCAGCAGCGAGCTTCTGTCCATAGAGCCGGGGCCGGGGGCCGGGGGGTCGACGGCCACGGCCGGGAGGGGCTGCTCTGCGGATGACTCCGCTCCGCCCCGGCCCATGCGCTCCGCCCGCTCCGCCTGGTGCCGCGTCACGGAGTTGCCCGCCCCCGCCGCACGCGTGGCCGAAACACAGGCGTGCCCTGCACGCGGACAGACGCACTCCCAGGATGGGGACAAATCAGCCAGAGCGCCCTGTTCCCCTCACGTACTCACCACATCCCAGTTCCCCCAATCCTGACCCCGCCTCTGGAGGCATAGTTGCTCCTCCTGAAGGGACGGCAGCTGGGAAACAGCCACAGGCGGCATGCAAGCCCCTCCTGCGCACGCCCCTTCTCCTGGAGTTGAGGCTTCAGCACCCACGCCATCTCTTTGGGGAAGCCCCTGCCTGCCACACATGCTGGTCCATCTGCCGTTGGGCAGCTAAAAAGGTGCCAGGGCCCCACCTATGGGTGCCAAGGCCGATAGGGCAATCAGCCAAGGGTGGAGGAGGTCCCTGCAGCCACAATGCTGGCCAGTGACAGCGGGGGCTACAGCCCCACGAGGGCACTGCAGGGCCCAGGCAGAACCCTGGGTATTGGGGCACAGACCCCGAGGGGCCCTATTTCCTGGAATGAGCAGGTGGACCCCTTCAACAGAGGATACAGTCTAGGGATGTTACCACAGCAACCCTTCCACTGCTACTCAGAAGCCCAGAACTATGGAACCATCAATCCTGGCAGCTAGGCCTCAGGAGGATAGAGGCCCAAAGAGCAAGCACAACACCTCAGCAGCTGTGAGGATGGCAGGATGCTGGAGGTACGAAAGTCTGACCCCAGACCTTTCACCCCTGTAGGGTATGGAGCCCCACCCCTGCCTCTAAGAAACAGCACTTTGGTGGCTCCAGGAAAGACCCTCCTGTGGAAGGGGCTGTCCTGCAGGGAATGCCCGGTGGCCGGAGGGGCACCTGTCCGGGTAGCCAGGGTTTTCCACCCAGTTCTCTCACGGGCTGTCTGCTCCAGGCGCCTCGACAATAGCAAAATAAGCACCTGGGACAGATGTTGAAACATAAACCTGAGTAGCACCCCTTCCTCACCAAGGGTTTTGTCCCTCTCCCCTTAGGTTGGGGCCCCTTATTGACCCCAGGCAGCGCGACTGAGGCCCGTGGTCAGTGTGAGGAAGGACCGGGCAGCTCCTCCACACTGGCAGATACCCCCCACACAGGGAGCAAGGCGTTTTGGCACATGTCAGCATCCCAGACCCTCCCCCCAGCTCAGGTAGGCCGCCAGGGTAGACGCTGGGGCTTGGGGAAGAGGCAGGCATCAGGAGGCCCTTGGGAATCAGGGCCCCTCAAGAAAGCATGGACCTTGGTGTGGAGGCTCCCAGGCTGCAGCTGGCCCACTGCTGGACCTCATAGGGGACCTGGAGGGGGGCTGTGGGGGCGAGGAGTGAAGTTTCCTGTCTACGCCGAAATAAAGGACATGACTGAAGAAAAGCCGCCTTCAGAAAGTATGGTCCAAGATGGAAAAGACTTAAGTTTAATCAGGAAATCCACCCTCACATCTTCCACAAGGGGTGCAGCCCTGAACCAGTCTTCCAGGGGCAGGGGGAGGGACCAGCCACTTCCTGCCCACACCTCCTTTGGCTCAAAGCTCTGCCCTCTGACCCCCCTCATACCCACTGGCTGCCTGGGACCAGGAAGGGTGGAGCCCTGAGAATTCAGGTCTGAGGTCACTGGCTTCCTCACCTCAGTCTCTACACACCACGCCCACAAAGGCACCTGGGAGCCCACCGTTGGGGCTGGGCAGTGGGCAGTCTGCCCTCAGAAACGTTTAGACAGAAGGAAACACTTCGAGGTGGCCCAACATCAGCACCCCGGGGCCCTGAGACCAGACTGCAGGGTACCAGGGCCTCATCGGCTCTTCACCAGGACCCTGTAGAGTGAAAAGCTGAGGACGGCAGCAACAGCAGCCCCGACAGCCCCCAGTGTCAGCCGGAGCCAGAAGGAGGTGGGGTGCAGCTCCCCATGGACCAGGTACCTGCAGGAGAGAGGTGCTGGCTGGAGACACACTCAGGGTACTGCCTAGATGCTTGCTGCTATACCCTCTCACCCCTCACCTCCTGGAAGGTCACAGAGCTCCACAGAGCTGCTCCCTGTCAGTGGCCAGCACAGCAGAACCACGGGGCAGCTGTTGAGACCAGGCCCCAGAGGGCCCTGCCATGGCATCAGCACCCCACCCAAGCCCACCCTGCAACCCTGGCTGACTCCACAGCTGTTTCCCTCTCCTGGGGCCAGAGACCGTTGGTGCCCTGGGACAGGCCTCCCACTGCAGGGGCTGTTCTGCTGGTACCCACGGGAAGGAGGCCATGGTAGCAAGCTGGGTGAAGATAGCTGTGTTGGGCTCTCCTGGGCTGGCACAGGAGAACACAGTGGGGGCGGGCAGCCGGTGCCTGCGGCAAAACTCAGCTGGAGATAGGCTAGGCAGTGAGACACCCTGAGGCAGGTCAGCCTTGGAGGAGACGAAGAGGCAGGGCGTCTGCCCATCCATGTAATAGCGCTGTGTGAGGAGAGGCCATATGAAGCACAGTCCCAAGGAAGGCAATGTGAGGGTGCTGGGGGACCCCTACCCACAGCCACGCTGTCCACAGGACCCTGGGGTAGGTGGGGGCTTGCCTTGTAGACACGGGTACACAGCACAAAGGACTGGAGGTCACTGCCATCAAACATCAAGCAGGCGACATCGCAGGTGGCATCAATTGCGGTAGACAGCAGGCTGTCTGCGTCCACTTCACATAGCTGGACAAAGGGTGGCCTCAGGGGCAGGCCAGGGGCTCCGTTCCCCAGGCTGCACGGGGCTGGACCTGCCCACGTGTACCTGGGGTCCACCCAGATACCCCCCTCCCAGCACTCACTATGAGGTACTTCTCCTGCCCGTTGGCTCGCACCGTGTTGATGGCGTAGACAGCAGGCCTCCTATGGAGCTGCCCAGGGTCCTGATGCTGAGGAGGGAGCTGCCTGAGGCTCACTGGCCCCGATGCTACCCAAGCCCTAACCCAAGAGGCCCTAGATGGGAGCTGGGCCCCTCACCCAGCACACGGTGAAGCTCACCGCTAGGCCACGGCCGAGGAAGGCCTGCAGGAAGGCAGATTTGCCCACTCCTTGGGCCCCCACCACCTTGCAAAGGAGGACGTTCCTCTGCGTCTGTCCCTTCTCCTGGTCCAGTTTCTTCTCACGGGTTACTGTGGGTAGGTGGGAAGGATAAATGAGAGTGAGGGGCTGCCAGGGAGGAGCTGGGCCAGGACATTGTGAGGGTGGGTGCCCACCTGTGATGGCGTGGGCCTGGGAGTCCTGCTTGCAGAGGGTGGGGTAGCCCAGGTAGCCAAGGTACTCCAGACAGCGCCGCACATCCAGGTAAGTCACCAGGCTAGGGCATTGCGAAGGGGGGGGGAGCAACATCACAAGAGGGCAACATTGTTTGGCGAGTGGGGGCAGGTGGGGGCAGCACTTACGTCCACTTGCAGAGGTACCCATGCAAGGGCAGCCGGCCTGCTTCAGCTGGGACTTCTTGCAGGAGCTGAGGGCCCCAGGGGGCTACTGGGAACACACTGAACAGGCCCTCCAGCTCCTCTGGCGACAGGGCACCATCATGGTCCTGCAGGCAGAGAGGCTGCAGTGACAATGGCTGGGGGCCAGGATGGGAAACCAGGACAAGCAGCACAGTAGGGTGACAGCGCCCTCACCTGGTCATGCTTCTCAAACACCCTCTGCACAAACTGGTAGCCAAAGTGGTTGAGCTCCGTGCTGCAGCCAGGGGGCACGTTGAGCCTGTAGGGTGGCCGTGGGGTTGCTGCTGTGCTCTGCACACCTCCCACCTATGTGGGCTGGACCCTCCCTACAAGCTGGACTGAGCCCCCAAGTTCCTGCACCCCTCTCCTTAGGCTGAACACCACAGTGGAGAAGCAGGCAGGGACATGGTTGGGGCCAGGCCCCACTGGCTCAGCATGAGCCCTACTTTACCTGCCCACAGGCCATCCTATGCCTGAGCAAGGGCTCCAACCCCACCCTGGCACCATCGGACAAGAAGAGCCCCCACCACCACTCACGGAGGAGAGAGGTAGTCAGTGGACAGCTCGAGCGTGTCGTCATAGCCAAAGCGCCGCAGGATGGTCCACGTGGTCTCGTGGCGGCCGCGCTGGATGAAGAGTGTATTCAGGAAGAGAAAGCCTGCTCAGAAAGGGGCAGAGAGGGTGGCAGTGGGTACTACCCAAGGCCCTCCCCACACTGCGGGGACAGGCAGGGTGCCAGGCCTCACCGTCCAGGGTCAGCCGGTCATCCCGTACGCCTCCTGCCACGTGCTTGCGCACCACCATCTTCACATCCTCTAGGGCCTGCGGGGCCAGGGGATGCCCAAAACAGGATTTCTGCCTCCGAGACAGAGTTGCTGTTAGTCAGCCAGCCACACCATTGACTGCCTGGCCTGGTCGTTAATGGCATAGAGCGTGGCTGAAGTCCACCAGGAGGTGGATGGGGGCCCTACCTGGAAAGCATTGAGCTCCTCATCACTGAGTGCCTGGTCCAGATCCTGGTCCGAGAGCCTGAAGATGCGCGTGAGAGCCTGGGTGCACGTAGGCCTCAACTGTGGGGACAGCCAGCTCAGCACCTCCCCTTACTTCCACCGGTCGGCCCCCCCCATCCTTGTCGGCCGCTCACCTGCTTGGTCTCGGGGTCATAAAGTGGAGCTGTGGGGTGCAGCACAGCCTTCTGGGCATAGTAGAACAGCTCTGAGATGTTCCTCAGATTCTTGGCTGAGCACTGGGAGCCACCAGGATGGACTCAGAGAGGCGCCCAACACCAGGAGACTCAAAGGGGCCCCAACAAAGATGCAGGCAGAGGTGGTCAGCAGCCCCCACCCAAAAAAAGCCCTCGAAAAGACAGCCTGTCTGTCCCAATGGCCCAGGCTGCAAGCACCAAGTGCCCACTGGAGGGCCTGGCGCTGCCCCTTCTCTTTCCCATCACGGTCCCCCCTGCCAGCCCTGCCGTGCATGCCTGCTCACCTCCACGCAGGTCTCGATCTCCGGGAACTGGCTCATGATAGGCAGCACAGCCTCCATGGAGCTTCCTGGCCGCAGGTCGGACTTGTTGCCCACCAGGATGATGGGGACCCTGGAGGGAGGCCCATGGTCATCTAGGATGAGGGAGCTGGAGAAAAGTCCCCCTGGGCCCTACTCATTACCTGGGCCCCTTCTCAGTCCCTCCATTCACCAGTGGGATCCATTTGGTTCGGATCTGAAAGGCAAGGGCTGGCATGAGGTAAAGGGGCTTGCCCAGCCCACAGCTCCTGGACGGAACTTGAGCCTACCCGAGGGAGATGGAGGGAAGTCGAGGCCCACGGAGGGCCAAAGTCACAGCCACTGGGAACAGGCAAAGAGTGCAGCTGACAGGTATGACCTCGTCTGATCCTAGCAATTCCCAAATACCTGAACAGGACCAGGGTCAGCAGCTCACAATAGCCCCTTCTGCAAGCCCAAGTGGCTCAGACTCCTGGCTGTCCGCACTTTCTGCAGGCAGATGGGGTTACAGGGGGGGCTCCCCGGGGAAGCTGTGGGGCCCTGACCACAAGCCCCCAGCATCCACAGTGGCTCCAGGAGGCTCCTTGACACACTAGTTAGAGATGAGGTTGGCTGTGGGTGGGTTGCCCCGGAGCCTGCATCAGCTGGGCATCTGTCCGGGTTCTGTGCCGGGTACAAGCAGATGACCACGCTGGGCACCAATTGCAGGGACCCAGGACAAACAGGCACTCTTGCTCACCTTCTCGATGGTGACCTCCTTAGACACATCGTACACCACACACACCACATTTGCCTGCAGGGGAGGGAGCGTGGCACAGCATTACCAGAGGCTTCCTGTCCACACCACCCTGGCACTCACAGGCAGGGCAGGGCCCAGATACGAGGAAGCCATCTTCACCGGTACTCCTCAGCCAGTGCTCCTTGGCACTGTCACTGGGACTGGTGGTCTGCTGTGCAAAGCTCAGACAAGCCCTTCCCTGCTTACTTCCAGGTCCCAGCACTGCAACTTTGGTCTGTGAGTCCCCTAAAGGGCTCAGGACAGACACAAAAACTTGGCACACCAGCTCTGGCCTTGATCATGTACTTCTATGTCACTGTGGCCACAGAAGATGAAGAGCACAACAGTACGACAGGCGACGGTGGCAAGAAGGCTGCTCCTCAGTAGCTATGGCCCAAACCCTTGCCCAGTGGCACCCCTTGGACACAGTGGAAGCTGCAGAGGCACGGGGCAAGGCTGCAGATGCAGCTTCCTCCCAGTGTCTTGGCTCGGGCACATGTCCTCCTGGTGACAGGTGAACAGGGGCTGCACAGCCTGCAGACCTGGACACCGCACTGTAGTCCAAAGCCCAGGGCAGCAGACTACACTAAAAGGTGGGGCGGGTAGATGGCCGGTGCACAGAAGTGTTCAAGGGGTCATCCTGAAGGATAATGAGATCTGTCCCCCAGTGTCCACTGAAAGAATGAATGCTGGGTGGAGAGAGCTATGGGGTTGGCCAGCCGTGTGGGTAGGAGGGAGGGATGGTCCCTTTTCTCCCCAACTCCTAGCAGGGTATATCACAGGAACCCCAAAGGCTCAGTACTGAGAGACAGAAGAATTATGGAGGCTGCGGAGCCCTGAGCAATTTAATCCAATCCCACAGAGAGAGAAGCAGGATCAGACTTACGCAGCAGACCACCCCCAGGGCATGAGCACGGAACCCCTCCCTCCTTTCCCTGGCACCCTCTCCCTGAGCCCTCTGAACACACTGTACCTTGTGAATCTCGTCCTGGAGTTCCTCCACTGTCTGCTCAGCTTCTGGATGGAAGAAGATGACACTGCAGACCTCCTGCCCGAAATGCGGCTGCTGGGCAGAACCCTGAGGTGGGGCTGGGCGGGGGCGGGGGCTCTACCTGAAGAATCCACGATGTGAGTGGGCACCTTCTCTGGGGTGACGTCCGCGGGAATAGTGATCTCTTCTGCTCGGGGTGGGACCTGAAGCAGACCCGCCTGTGAGGGTGATCCGCGGAGGTCCGCCCCTTCCCCTGCGCAACCACGAGAGGGGAGCTGAGCACCACCATCCTCACCTCTTCGGGGAACTCCTCGCTCACCAGCGACAGGATCAGGGACGTCTTCCCCACCTGGGCTGCGCGGGGTAACAGGTCAGCCCTCAGCCAAGGTCGCGGCACCCCCATACGCTAGGCCCAGCCCCACTCCCGGCGCGTACCCTCGCGCAGCCCCGCCCCCAGTGCCTACCCTCGCCCAACAGCAGGATGCGCACGTCCCGTTTCATGGCAGCCCACAAAACCGGCAGCCCGACCCCTGCCCCAGCCCCGACTCCCGGGAGCCCGGTCAAGGTTCTCCGCCCGCGCTCTCCTCAAGCCCGCACTTCCGGCCTCATCCTCAGGCAGCACCAGCGAGTCTAGAGGGCCAGAGCGGCCGAACTACGCCGTGGCGCCGCTGTGTGGGCACGCGGGGAACTGCCCCCGCCCCCTGCACTGGACAGAAGGGCGGAGCCATGGAATGGGGTGCCACGCTGCTCCATCAGCTTTCTGCTGGACCAGGACTAGCTCACGGCGCAGGATAGCCCTAGCAGGTGGACAGGCCAGGGCCTCAGTTCTTGGCAGGGAGCAGGGGGGGTTGGGGCAGCGGCTGAGCTCCAGCCAGGAAGGAGAACCAGGTTCAGGACAGTAGGAGCCTGAAGTGACCAGCAAACAATGCCAAAATGCAATGTCCATGCCCAAGTTTATTTCAACTGTACAGGTAGAAACATAGAAAAGCACTGTGATGCCAACAAGCACTTTACACGTGTTCAGGGTCTTGACGATTTACAGAGTCCTGAGCCCATTCGGTGTGAGGGGGCTGAGCCTATTCAGCCACCCCGACCTAGTACGAGGTTCTCCACTAACCTGGCTTCTCAGCAGAGGCCAGGTATCCAGCATGACCAGCCCCACACACTTGACCCCAAGCTCCCCACTGAAGCTCAGCAGTCTGTGACTTCCCACACCAAGATCTCGTTGTGGGCCACTGTGAAGAGCAAGCTGCCAGATGGGGCAAACCTACAGAGCTGAACCCCGTCATCGTGGCCTATAAAGTCCTGTGCAGCTCCTGACACACAGTCCACCAGCCTCAGTACTCGCTCTGCGGGCGAAAGGTATGGGGTGGGCCCTGTGCCTGAGCCTGCAGGTCCAGGGCCCAGGTGTTCCCACCCACCCTGGCTCTGTCTCCAGCTGGACGCTGGAGCAGCATAAGAGGATCAGTGTTGGATGGCCTGTGTCTTCCACATCCAGTGCCACCTGTCACTGGGATGGGCAGCAGAGCCAAGAAAGAGCCCATCATTGTCAGGGTGCTCAACAATATGTAGCTTCTAAGGCCCCAAGCTGGGCTGCTGAGTCCCTCTGCTCAGTGCTGGGTGCTATACTGAGTCCCCCACTTCAGAGATGCAGAGCCAGGGTGCAGATGTGAGGGGCATATCTCAGTGTGGGGGCACAGGGAGTCTACTCAACCTCACTCAGGACAGGCTGAGTCAATGCGCACCAGCACTCACCAGCAAAGCCAATGGCCACGAGGCAGGCCCTGGAGGACAGGCTCAGGGATGCAGCGAAAAACGGCAGTGGGATCTTCTTTACCACCTGTGGGCAGTGAGTGTGAGAAACCGGGCAGGGGTTCCCGCAGCCCAGGACTCTCCCCTCCCAGGGTCACGGCAGCGTGCACATGCCTGCTTCTGGCATAGGCTGTAGAAGATCACTTCTGGATTCGGGCCGAGGCCTACACACACCAGCAGTGTCCTGTCCCAGGGGCAGAAAGCAGCAAGGGAGGGTGGAGAGCAGTCTGGAGCCTGAGGAAAGGCATGGCGTGCTGCGGTGGGGCGGACAGGCACCACCCCACCTGAGCTGCCACCAGGACCCTCACCGTCATAAGCATGGGTGCTGGGAAGCTCAGCCAGTCCACAAGCTCACAGTGGTCCCGCAGCCAGTCAGAGGCCCAGATGCTGACCCGCTGGTCCCTGCTGGCGGCCAACCACAAGTCTGTGCCCTTCGCCCCGAAGTCTCCATACTGTGGAGGAGGGTATGGGCAGGTGGGTATCTCCTGCCCCACTTTGCCCAAGCTCCTTCCCAGCCAGCACCCCCTAGACGGGGCCCTGCTGGTTCACCTCCTTTCTCGTGCTCTGGATGGTAGAGATGGGAGCACCCCAGTGCTCTCTCAGTACTCGGAAGGTCATCCCCGTGCGGGGGCGGCTCACAGCCACAAGTCCGTCCTTGTCTCCAGAGAGGATGGTCTGACCTGAGCCAGGCAGGGGACACTCTGTTACCATGTGAGCTCCCTGCCTAGGCCAGGCCAGGGCCATGCCATCACCCTGTCAGACCCCGGCCCCTCACCGTCAGCAGAGAAGGCAATGGCTGTCAGCGCAGTCAGGTGTGGATGCATCTTGAGTTCCATCGAGATTTGGGAGATGCTGAAGACACGCAATGTGCCATCGCTGTAACCTGCCGCCAAGTGCTGCTGTTCTGGGCGCCCATAGGATGGTGGGCTCCAGGCCAAGCAGAGACAGCTCTGGGGATCCCCGGTGAGGCAACGTTAGCACTCCCCTGGGGATCGAGACAATGGCCCGACCCCGAGGCTGAGGACAGACGCTGAGGCTGAAGGGAGGATGCGGCTCCCAGAGCCCTGCAGCAGACAGGCAGGGCCCCACCCCAAGCACACTCCCCCAGCCCCTGGTGCCCCGAGTACCTGGTTCAGCACCTGGAACTGGATCACCAGCTCCATGCTGGCCAAAGACCACACCCTCACACTCCCATCGTCTCCGCATGTGGCACAGTGGGACTCGCTAGGGCTGAAGACCACCTCGTTCACCTGCAGGAAGCCAGGCAGCTCCACCTGAGTCTACGCCGCCCTCAGGCAGAAACAGGACACAGTGGGGCCATGTGCCTCCTTCCCAAGCCTGCCTGTGGCCGCAGCTGCCCCAACGTGGTGTAAAGAAACGCCCTGACCCTCCTCCTGAGCCCCCCACATAAGACCCGGATGGAATTCAAGTTGCAAGGAGCCTGTGGGCCATTGAACCTGACCCTCCTCTCGCTGGGGTAACAAAGAACTGTTCTGAAAGAACCTAAAATGTGGTGAAGGAACAACACATCCCCAGAGGGAGGCACAAAACACTCCAAGACACCAGGGCCTCACCCCTGGGGGCTGCTTTTCCCTAGACTGTCCTGTGGTCACTGAGAATCAGAACGTCTGGTGTGGAAGGAAAAAGGGATACAGAGACCATACGCCAGTGAAATGGCCTAGTCCTGCATTAAAATTTCAAATGTAAGTATGAACTCGTGATATAGTTTATCTTTAAAAATAATAATTTAACTCTGGCCGAGAAGCGATGGACCCCTCTGGGAAGAAACAGCCAAGTCCGGTCCACAAGGAGCTGCAGAGGGAGGGCCTGGGCGCCTCGTTGCTCCGTGTGAGAGGGAAATCGCCAGTGACCGGCAGCTCAGGTCAGGACTCGGACCCAAGCGCTCTTACCCTGACGGATGGATAAACACAGTGTATTCTGCCTGTGCCATGGAATAGTGTCTGGCCATAAAAAGGAGACACCGACATATGATACAACGCAGATGAACCTTGAGATGATGCTCAGTGGGAGAAGCCAGGCACAAAGGACCACACAGCATGTGATTCTGTTTATGTGCAAAGTCCAGAACAGGCAAACCCATAGTCCGTGGTTCTCAGGGAACGGGAGGTGAGTGCTTAATGGGCATGAGGTTTCCTTTTGGGGTGATGAAAATGCTCTAAAGTTGATTGTGGTGCCCTGGCTGATCAATGTTTCGCTGTCTCTCAGAAATCAATAAATATATCCTCATGTAAGAATTTAAAAAAAAAAAGCAAGCTCTGGCTGGTGTGGCTCAGTGGATTGAGTGCTAGCCTGTGAACCAAAGTGTCACTGGTTCGATTCCCAGTCAGGGCACATGTCCGGGTTGCAGACCAGGTCCCCAGTAGGGGGCATGTGAGAGGCAACCACACATTGATGTTTCTCTTCCTCTCTTTCTCCTTTTCTCTCTCTAAAAATAAATAAAATCTTAAAAAATAAAAATTAAAAAAATTTCTCTTTAAAAAATAAATATAGTATTTTAAGAACCATAAGATGCACCTAGGTTTTAGAGGAGGAAAATGGGAAAAAAATTTCTGAAGCAAAAACATGGTAAAATATTTAATAACCTGTGACCGCCGCCCCGCCCAACACAGGGAGCCAGGTAAGCTACATTCAGACTATAAGACACACCCCACTTTTCCTCTCAGATTTGCGGGGGAAGTGCATCTTATAGTCCAAAAATGTGGTAAATAATAAAATTGACTGTGGTGATGGTTGTACAAATCTGTGAATATACTAAACCACTGACTCTTTAAAAAAAAACCCAACTTTATTTATTTTTAGGAGGGGCAGGAAAGGAGAGAGGGAGAGAACTAACCATGTGTGAGAGAAACACTGATTGGTTGCCTGTCACGTGCCCCCAAGACTGGGGACCTAACCCACAACCCAGGCATGTGCCCTGATTGGGAATCGAACCAGCAACCTTTTGGTTCACAGGCCAGTGCTCAGTCCACTGAGCTACACAGGTCAAGGCTGAAAACCACTGACTTTAAACGGCTGAAGCTTATGGTATGTAAGTTATACATCAATATAAAACTGTTACCAAAAAAAATAGAAAAAGTATATAACCCTTATTCTTCTCAAACTTAATTTCTTTGATGTCTACCATTATCTCCAAACCAATAAATATTACAATAAAAATAAGGACTCAGTAGCCAACTCCAAGAACCTGTCAGCAGCCAGAGCCAGGACTCAGGGAGCAGTGGCGGGGGGGGGGGGGCCCGCCCTACGTACACACCCACCAGCTCCTAGAGACTTCAAAAGCAGCCCTGGCTGCTGTGGTTCAGTGGCTTGAGCATGGGCTGTAAACCAAACCAATTGAGTTGCGGTTCGATTCCCTGGCAGGGCACATGCCTGGGTTTCGGGCCAGGTGCCCAGTGAGGGGTAAGCGGGAGGCAACCACTCACTGATGTTTCTCTCCCAATCTTTCTCCCTCCCGTCCCTTCTCTCTAAAAATAATAAATACATAAAACCTTTAAAATTAAATTTAAAAAAAGACGTGACAGACTTGAAGTAAACGCACTGAAGTGAACACTGGCTATTTTGTTGGTAGAACCAACCCAATCTTGGGAACCGGCCCAGAGGGGAGAGGACCAGCCACCCACTAAGGTGACAGGTCACTCTGGACAAGAGCAGCACTGAAAGGCAAGCAGCTCCCGTTTGCTTCCTGGTGGGAGACACAGCTTCTGCCCGACCCTGACCACATTCTGGCCGAACCCCCAGATCCTCAGACCCCAGAACAGGGAGCGGAAAGGCAGGCCCGGCCCTGTGTG